CGGGCACTGTTCCTTAGTGACCGCGCATCCTGCCCTGCCCTTCGTTTATGACACCTGCCTTCACACGGCCCCCATTGTCCAGTTGGAAGTCCCCCAAGGAACCTCTCCTGGGTTGACCCCAGACTTGACTTGTGTGTGCCAGCAGTGCATGTCAGGTTCAATTCATGACACATTGGCGTATGCACCGGTGGGTGCTGTAGCCCAGCTCAGCCGGCCTGCCGCAGATCTGGTCCTCACTGGTGCTCATGCATGGCTGTGTGCTGTGGTCTACTTAGGGCCATCACCGGTGACCCCGCCAGGCCTACCCCCAGCCTGTGTTGAGTGCGTGCTGGCCTGTGCTGCAGCCTGGCCCATCCTGTTTCAGTTTTGCACAGCTCTCATACCCACCTGTGGGTGCTGCAGCTTAGCTCATTCTGCCTGGCCCCCAGATCTGGTCCACACATGTGCTGACCGGTGCCACCGCCTAGTCTAGCCTGGCCACCCTCAGCCCTGGCTCGTGTGCTCACCAGTGGGAACTGTAGCCAGCAGTGCCCCTGCCAGGCTTGTTTCTAGCCCCGGAGCTTGTGCTCATCAGGGGGGTGCCGTGTCCAGCCTGACATGATTTATACCCAGTCCTGGCCCTTGGCAGCAGGTGGTGTGGCTCAGGCTAGTTTCTCTACACCCATGCTCGTTCTTGCGTGTGCCAGCTGGTGTGGCAGCTTTGATCAGCCTAGCCTGCCCCCATAGATCTGGCCCAAATGCTGACTGGTGGACGCTGAAGCCCTGCCTGGGCTGGCCTACCCTCAGTTCAGCACTCACGCTTGTCATTGAAATAGTGGCTCAGCAAGGGAGTCCCCAGAACTCGCCAGCAGCCGTGGGTGTTGTGTGTAGGCCTGTGTCAACATTCGCAAGCAGGTGCTTAGCCCGGCTCAGCCTGACTCACGTCCAGTCTCAGCTGTCCGGGGGTATAGCAGCCTTGTCCATCCTTGGCCGGTCGCAGCCCTGGGTCTCATGGACTGGGTGTTGTGATCTGGCCCGTCCTGGCCTGCTCCCTGACCTGACTCTCACTTGTGCCAGTGTGTGTGCTGTGGACCGAGCCTGCCCATGGGAAGCCTGGAGGAGGCTCCTGGCTGAGGGTGTCTGTCCATGGGAAGCCTGGAGGAGGCTCCTGGCTGAGGGCGTCTGTCCGTGGGAAGCCTGGAGGAGGCTCCTGCGTCTGCCTGGTCCAGGCTTGGCTAGTGCAGCCGTCTGGGGAGTGAACCTGTGGACAGATCTCCCTCTTTTTTTCTCTCTCTGTAAGTGTGCTTTTCAAATAAGTGAAAGTCAGTTTTTAAAATGAAAGAAAAAGCATGGTTCTGGTGACAGTCGTTGCGCCCAGGTAACATGTTCCTAAGTGCCTGTGCCCTGGCTGGCACCTTTATGCACTGGAGTTTTAAAAACGTTTATTTACTTTGATCAGGAAGTCAGATTTACAGAGAGGAGGACAGAGGAAGATCTGTCAGCTGCTTCACTCCTGAAGTTGACCACAATGGCTAGAGCTGAGCCAACCCGAATCCAGGAGCCAGGAGCCTCCTCCAGGTCTTCCACACGGGTGCAGGGTCCCAATGCTCTGGGCCGTCCTCTGCTGCTTTCCCAAGCCACAGGCAGGGGCTCAAATCGGTGCTCGTACAGGATGCTGGTGCCTTAGCTGGAAGTGGACTGTGCTGCCGCAGCACTGGCCCCTGGTTAGGCATTTTTAAAGCTTCCTCTGGCAGCTGTGCGTGGGTGCGTGAGGAGCAGAGAGGGTCTCCTGCAACAAGACGTGGGTGCGGCAGGAGGGCAGCAGGTCGTTGCAGCTGGGCCTGGCGCTGGCGCTTCAGAGGAGGCAGAGGGCTCGGGGATCCTAGGGAACTGTGGGTTCTGAGCACACGGGGAGTGTGGCCGTGTGCTGGGGTGTGTGAGAGAGAGGCCCTGCAGGGCAGGTCTGCATGCAATCTGGTTGGAGGAGTATGCCGAGGGGATCTGGCATCCCGGCTGTGGCCCTGGGCCTCTGGTGTGCCCTCCTGCTCTTGGTCATGTGGTGGGCACACGCTCAGGATCTGGTGCGGTACATGCGGAGGTTTCCGGAGACTGGTTTGTCTTTCCTCCTGTCCCCAGCAGGCATCAGGAGAGTGTGTGTCAGCCCCCACCATGGAATTGGGCTCACTCTCAGACACGCTGTAAGAGCCTGCGTCCACATTGCTTACACGCCCTGGGGGTTGGCGTCCCCGAACAGTTGCACCTTGGCGGCCACTTCACGTGCCACGAAGAGTGGGGCTTCCAATGCAGTGAAGGTCGGCTGAGCTCTGTCCCATGTGGCTCTTGCCCTTCCAGGGAGAGCTGCCTGGGAGAGCCGGCAGCCCTGCCAGGGGACGCTGCTTCCCACTGGGGCTGCAGCGCCTGTCCGCAGCTCCCAGCCCGGCCTTTCCCCGTGTGGCCCGGCTCCCAGCCCCGGCCTTTGCCTGCGGGACCTTGCTGTCCCACTGGGCGGGCTCACAGAGCGGAGGGCACCATTGGCTCCTGGCCCATCCCTCCCACCTTGTGCCCCACCGGGCCGTGGGTTTCTCAGTGTGGATGAGGTGTGTTGAGAGTGATGGCCTTGGGGGTTCCTGAGTGAGGCAGCACACACATAGCCGTCTTGCTGCTGGGAGAGGCTCCGGGCTCCGGAAGTCACAGCCGTCTAGGGAGTGAACCAGGCGAAGGAGGGTCTTTCTTGGCGTCTTCCTTTCTCTGGAACTCTGGCTTTCAGATAGTTAAATCAATTTCTAAAATCTGAGAATTTACCCATGGGAGAGGTAGACCCCCAGAGCTCTGAGATGCCCATGGGGGAGCTGGTCACTCAATGTGAGTCCCCCGCGGGGGCAGCAGTGCAGATGCCACTGCCCAGGTTCTCAGGAAGCTGGGGGTGCCCGCAATGCCAGCGTCCCGTAGGCGTGTTGGCTCAGATTCCAGCCATTTCACTTATATTTCTTTAAAATATATGTGTATTTTTTTTATTGGAAAGGCAGATTTATGGAGAGACAGAGAAAGAACTTCTGTCTGCTGGGTCACTCCCCAAGTGTCCACATCAGCTGGAGCTAAGCCAATCTGAAGGCAGGAACCTCTCCCGTGCAGGTGCAGGGTCCCAAGGCTCTGGGCCGTCCTCGACTGCTTTCCCAGGCCACAGGCAGGGAGCTGGATGGGAAGTGGAGCTGCCGGGATTAGACCCAGCGCCTATATGGGATGCCGATGCGTTCAGGGTGAGGACTTTAGCCACTAGGCTGTTGTGTCACACCCCGCCGTTCTGCTGCTAGTCCAGCTCCTTGCTGACGCACTAGGGAAGCACTGGCAGTTTGGCCCAAGTGCTCAGGCACCAGTGCCTGCGTGGGCTGTCTGGATGCCCTGGCCCTGGCTTTGGCCTGGCACGGCGCTGACCACTTCACTCGGCTGGGGAGTGACCCAGTGATGGAAGATCTTTCTCTGTAACTTTTTAGATCTTCCGTCCACTGGTTTACTCACCAAATAACGTCAACAGCCGGAGCTGGGCTGCCCCAGAGCCAGGAGCCAGGAGCCAGGAGCCAGGAGCTTCCTCCAGGTTTCCCACAGGGATTCAGGGCCCAGGCCTGTTACCTCCTCCCTGCTTTTCCAGTCTGTGAGCGGGAAGCTGAGTCAGAAGTGGAGCAGTGGGGACAATAAGTGTCACCATATGGGATGCTGGTGCTGGAAGTGGTGGCTTTACCCACTGTGCCACTGTGTCGGCCTACAAAGAAACCTCCAGAGAAAAGACCTGCTTGGCAGACAGCAGGCCAGTGTGGGCTCTGGGATGGCAGAGGCACACACATTGCAGCCGGAGGCCCCGCAGGCCTGGAGCTGTCATCTTGGGCAGGTTGGCATCCCGTGTACAGTCCCGGCTGCCCTACTTCCTGCCGGAGCAGCTGGAGAGGCCACTGAGGTGGCCTTGCACCCATCCAAGGGAGACCCAGATGGAGTCCCTGGCCCCGACCTGGCCCAGAGCATCAGTGAGCTCTCTTTCCTGTCTCTGCCTCTGGTGGAAATAAAAACCGTCAGCACCCAGTCTCCACTCAGTCCTCAGTACCTTTGTAGGGGCTGCGGCAGCTCTGGGGGCCTACCTGTGCAGCCTCTAGCCACGGGGGCAGTTCTGGGGGCCTACCTGCGCAGCCTCTGGCCACGGGGGCGGCTCTGGGGGGCCTACCTGCGCAGCCTCTGGCCACGGGGGCGGCTCTGGGGGGCCTACCTGCGCAGCCTCTGGCCACGGGGGTGGCTCTGGGGGGCCTACCTGCGCAGCCCCTGGTCTCAGTGGTGGCTCTTGGGGGGTCCTGCCTGCGCAGCCCCTGGCCACAGGGGCGGCTCTGGTGGCCTGCCTGTGCAGCCCCTGGCCACGGGGGTGGCTCTGGCGGCCTGCCTGTGCAGCTCCTGGCCATGGGGACAGCTCTGGGGGCCTGCCTGTGCAGCCCCTGGTCTCAGTGGTGGCTCTTGGGGGGTCCTGCCTGTGCAGCTCCTGGCCATGGGGACAGCTCTGGGGGCCTACCTGCGGCAGCCCCTGGCTGTGACACCTGACTGGGAAGTGCCCAGCCCCAGGGTCTCAGGTCTAGTGGCATCCTTGGCAGGTACAGAGACCAGGCCAAAGGCTTCTAGGTACTTGCTGGCAGGTGGGGGAAGTTGTTTAGTGCTGTTGACTCCAATGTAATGAGAATACTGAACTCATGTATTCCCTGGGGTGGCTTTTCATTTCATTCTTCCTAGCAGTTTATCAGTGATTGAAATAAAACTCAGGAAACCCTTCCTAGGTGGAGAGCCTCCCAGCAGCTGGCCCTGCCCCGGGAGGGGCCCTGCTCCGCCTGCAGCTGCCCCTAACCTCCTCTAAATTGGCTGTGTGTGGGGTGTGGGCAGAGGGATGCAGAGCACCTGGGGCCCACCCTAGCTCCCTCGGGGCTCTGGCTCTCCCCAGTTCCTGGGTCCCTGACTCCCTCCCGTGCTACCTTCTCTCATCCACAGCTCCCACTATGGTGCAGCTGAGCTCAGAGTCAGCCCTGAACGAGCTACTCTCCTCCAAAGAGGAGGAGTGGCGGGCACTGCAGGCCCAGCACTCGCGGCTGCAGGAGGCGGCTGTGCGGGAGGCCCAGGGCCGGCTGCAGGAAGCACAGGACCAGCTCCAGCGTCTGCAGGAGGACTTCCTCTACAACCTGCAGGTGCTGGCGGAGCGGGACAGCGAGCTGGAGCACTACGACGCCGCCTTCGCCGAGGCCAGAGGCCGGGAGGAGGCCAAGCAGGCGGAGGCTAGCGAGCTCAGGATAGAGGTGGCCAAGCTGAGGCAGGCGCTTGCCGCGGAGGCCCGGCAGAAGGAGGAGCTGCAGCGGAGGCAGCAGCTGCTACAGCAGGAGCACTGCCTCGAGCTGGAGCGTGCGTACAGGTGAGGCTGTGGGCCAGGCAGGAGGCACGGTGTGCAGCCCATGACGGGACGGGCAGCTGGGTGGTCGTGGCAGGGAGCCCAGGCCGGGCCAGACAGCTGTGGTGTGGAACCCATGACAGGCCAGGCGGCCGTGATGTGGAGCCCGTGACGGGCCGGGTGGCCACGGAGCCCATGAAGGGCTGGGCGGCTGGGTGGTCGTGGCATGGAGCCCTGTGAGGGTCGCACGCTCTGATGAGAGTCTCTCCGACAAGCCAGTCAGGTGAAGGGTCTGAGGGGCCCGCCACTGCCAAGTGCCGCCTGGGCCTGCAGCCTGCGTCCCAGTGCCGGTGGCCTCAGTGCGGCACACCTTGGAAGGGTCGCCTGTGGCTGTGCGTCTGTCCCACAGAACAATGTGACATGTTCAGCCGGCCAGAGACTGCAGGGGAAGGCTGTGTCCGTGGACCCACAGGGCCAGCCCCAGCTCCTGATGCCCACCGCATGAGTTGGGGCTGCCTGGAGTGTGCCAGCCAGTGGCCCCTGAGCCAGCGGTGCTGCATGGTGTCACCGTTCACGCCAGGGCTGGGGAGGCTGGAACTGGAGCTCTGTATTGGTGCTGACTCCCCCGGGTGTTCGCCGGGCCTTAGGAAGGGCCCCCCGCCCTGGCCAGCACAGCAGAGGCCGAAATATGCCCTGTGCGTGTGCCGTTGCTCCGTGAGAGCACTTAGAGCAGCTTTTTAAAATGTTCATACGTCTGGTGCTGTGCACTGCAGGCTAAGCCTCTGTGGTGCCAGCATCCCCTAAGCACACCAGTTCATGTCCTGGCTGCTCCACTTCTCACTCAGCAACCGCTTATCACCTGGGAAAGTAGTGGAGGACGGTCCAATTTCTTTGGCCTCTGTGCCTCCTGTGGGCCCTGGAGGAAGCTCCCAGCTCCTGGCTTTGGACCAGCCTTGTTCTGGTCACTGCAGCCGTCTGGGGAGTGAACTACATAGGAAAGGTTCTCTGGCTTCCAAAGAAAAGGAAGGTTTTTTAAAAGTGTATTTTCAAGTCTTTTGCCTTTCTTTTCTCAAGTTCAGGATGCTTTCAGCTGTGTTTGTGCTACCTAAAGCTGCCTGTTGGGGGCGTCTGAGCTCTCAGTCTGGACCTACACAGCTGCAGAGCAGGTGGCCCGTTAGTTAGTCTGACATCAGGGTATATGAGGCTGCCATGCCTGAGCCAGCCAGCGCAACCTCAGTAACCAGCCCCGCAGGCCAGCGCTGTGGGGCCACAGCTCACCCTGCTATGGTTGGTGCCAGCGTCCCATTGCAGAACTCCGCCCCAATCCTGTTGCTCTGCTTCCGGTTCAACTCTGCTGAGAAGGCAGAGAAGATGGCCCACATGCATGGGCCTTCTTACCCACATAGGAGACGCCGATGCCGCTCAGGCTCCTGGCTACACCACAACACTGGCCTGGATGCAGTAAATTCAAACACCGAAACAGACAGAGGGGGGCTCAGTGTCTGTCTGGTTCCACAGAGCATTCATGGTCCAGGCACGTTCACAGTGCAGGCGTGTTCACAGTGCAGGCGTGTTCATGGTGCAGGGGCGTTCACAGTGCAGGTGTGTTCACAGTGCAGGTGTGTTCATGCTGCAGCCTGGTCACGGTGCAGGTGTGTTCACGGTGCAGACCTGGTCACAGTGCAGGCACGTTCACAGTGCAGGTGTGTTCACAGTGCAGGCGCGTTCACGGTGCAGGCGTGTTCACGGTGCAGGGGCGTTCACAGTGCAGGTGTGTTCACAGTGCAGGTGTGTTCATGCTGCGTCCTGGTCACTGTGCAGGCGTGTTCACAGTGCAGGTGTGTTCACGGTGCAGGCGCGTTCATGGTGCAGGTGTGTTCACGGTGCAGGCGCATTCATGGTGCAGGCGTGTTCACAGTGCAGGCGCGTTCACAGTGCAGGCGTGTTCATGCTGCGGCTTGGTCACGGTGCAGGTGTGTTCACGGTGCAGACCTGGTCACGGTGCAGGCACGTTCACAGTGCAGGTGTGTTCACGGTGCAGGCGCATTCATGGTGCAGGCGTGTTCACGGTGCAGGCGCGTTCACAGTGCAGGCGTGTTCATGCTGTGGCTTGGTCACGGTACAGGTGTGTTCACGGTGCAGACCTGTTCACGGTGCAGGCACGTTCACAGTGCAGGCGTGTTCACGGTGCAGGCATGTCACGGTGCAGGCGCCTCCCGGTCAGCATTTGGTAATGCAGCTGCATCCTAGCTCTGCTTCTCTCTTAGCTTTGGGTCTGACAGACTAGGTGCCATTCAGCTGCGGCTCTGCCCATGCCTTTCTGTGTGCAGCATCTGTTCTGTCTTCGGCCTGGCACCTGTCGTTGACTTCCTCTGTTTGCAAGGAGGGCTGGCCCTCAGGGCACTTGTTTGTTTTGTTTTTAGGGCACCTGTTTTTGACTGAGGTTCCCTGTTTTCCCCGAGTTGTGTTGAGTTGCTCGGTGGAAGCATTGTTGGGGGTGGCGTGTGGAGTGGAGGCTGAGCTGGCCCTTGGAGTGCCTGAGGCAGCAGCACAGTGCTGCTTCCAGGCCTGGCTGCCCTGCAGCTGCTGCAGCTCCCGGGCACCGTGGTGGGGACCGGATGTAGTCGCTCCTTTCTGGCCTCAGCTGGCCTGTGGTGGCTGTGTGTGGTGCGAACTGGCCGCCACCAGATCCTGTGCGCTCGCGCTCTGCCTGTCAAATGGGAGTGAATACTTGGTTAGGAAACGTTACCAGGATGGCCCTGTCCTTAACTAACTTCAGCGTTTTGTGTTTTCTCATCAAAGTGTACATTCTGGCTGTTGGTGTAGAAAGTGACTTTTTATTTTTAAAGGTTTTGTTTTACTTTTATGTTGTTGTTATTCTCTATTTGAAATACCAAAGAAATGGAAACAGAGAGAGACAAGGAAAGAGCACGCTTGCCCATTAGCCACGTCACTCTCTCAGATGCCCGGTCTCCTGAGCCGTCGGGTGCTGCCTGTCTGTGTGGCCTGCAGCAGGAAGCTGGGTTGGAGGCACAGGCACTGGGACTCACACTGTCCACTGGCACTGGGTGATGGCCTGCCAACGGCTGTCTGTCTGCTGGACCACTTTACCCATCTCCGCGTGGATCAGAGAGGCAGACGAGGGAGGGAGATCTTTCATTTGCCAGTTCACTTCCCAGATGCCACTGGGCCTGGCCAAATCCAGGAATATAGGACTGCAGCCGGGTCTCCCACGTGGGTGCAGGGTCCCAAGGTCAGGGCCATCTTCTCCTGCTTTCCCAGGCCACAAGCAGGGAGCTGGATGGGAAGTGGAGCTGCCGGGATTAGAACTAGCGCCCCTATGGGATCCCGGTGCGTTCAGGGTGAGGACTTTAGCCGTTATGCCACAGTGCTGGGCCCGTGGCTTTTCTTTTTTTTTTTCCCACATTTTATTATTATTGCTATCATTTTATGATACAGTTCCATATTTCCTTATCCCCTCCCCAATTCCCTCCCTACCCCACCCCCAGTTCCTTTATATCATTACTAACATATAGTTCTTCATACTCAGTCATATGTTCATCATTGCGGGCATGGACAATGGCAGAGAGTCCAGAATCCTATTGTCAAAATATAATATAAACAGTTTCACTGTAAGTCCATCTTTGTCTGGAAACAGAGATGTCGCCTGCACTGCATCCTCACATCTGGTTGTTAGTCTCCATTACATAACTACTGTACATTCCCTTAAATGAAAAGTCATGATACAAAATCAACACTAGAAAGAAAAATAGAAATTTACAATGCCATGAAGTTAAATGACATGTTACTAGATATGACAGTCTCCATTACACAACTACTATACCTTCCCTTAAATGAAGAACCACAAAACAAAATCAACATCCGAAGAAAAAGAAATTAACAACACCAAGAAGTTAAACAACATGCTATTAAATGCATAACTTGTAGCTGAAGAAGTGAAAATCAAGAACCTTCTTGAAGAAAATGATGCCACTGTATGATCTACGAGTCATTGAATGATTTAATCAGAAGAAAGTGTTTTGAAGAAATGAAACCAACAGAAAACAACAAAACCCATGTGATAGAGTTTCCGCTGATCTTTGTTGGAGTGTGTCTCCTCCAGACAATAAACAGATGGGTTTTGTTTTTTAATCCAGTCTACTAACCTATGATGTTTGATTGAGCTTAAGCAATTTACATTCAGAGTTAAATATACATAGGTGGTACTTTGGTCCTGTCATTTTAGGAATGGGTTGTTCATTGATTTATTCTTCTGTTGTCATTTTACTGGGATGTTCTTCCCGTTTGCCTTTGGTTTTGGTAGGTGCTATTCCTCTTCTCTGTCAAGAGAACATCTTGAAGTATCATTTGTAGGGCAGGTTTGGAAGAGGCAAATTCTTTTAGCTTTTCTTTACTCTGGAAGAATTTTATTTCATTTTCAAAGATGAAAGAAAGCTTTGCTGGATATGTTATCCTAGGCTGACAATTTTTTTCTTTTAGAATCTGGAATATGTCACTCCATTCTCTTCTTGCCTGTAGAGTTTCCTGTGAGAGATCTGTGAGCTTAATTGGCATTCCTTTATATGTCAATTGATGTTTTCCACGTGCACATTTAAGGATCTTTTCCTTATGTTCAATTGAAGAGAGTTTGATAATCATATGTCTTGGTGAAGATCGCTTTTGATCAAGCCTGTTGGGAGTTCTGTGTCCCTCCTGGATCTTGTTTCCCAATTCTTTCTCCAGATTAGGGAAATTTTCCTTGATTGTTTCATTAAATACATTTGCAAACTCAGCTTCTCTTTCTGCACCTTCCGGGACTCCCATAACTCTTATATTTGGCCTCTTAAAGGTGTCTTTCAATTCTTGACTACTTTTTTTGGCCTGATCCAGCTCTGCTTCCAGCTTTTTGTTTGCTTTCCCCTGGTGACAGGAGATATCTGCCAATTCTGAGATTTTTTCTTCGGCTTGCTTCATTCTATTTTGGAGACTCCCCACTGTACTTGTAATTTGCTCTACTGTGTTCCTAATTTCTGATATTCTAGTCTTGATTTGCTTTACTGCTTCCTTAAATTCTTTGAACTCTTTTTTTTTTTTTAAAGATTTATTTTTATTATTTTTTATTGGAAAGGCGGATATACAGAGAGGAGAGACAGAGAGGAAGATCTTCCATCCGATGATTCACTCCCCAAGTGAGCCGCAACGGGCCGATACTATGCCGATCCGAAGCCAGGAGCCTCTTCCGGGTCTCCCACGTGGGTGCAGGGTCCCAAAGCTTTGGGCCGTCCTCAACTGCTTTCCCAGGCCACAGGCAGGGAGCTGGAAGGGAAGCGGGGCTGCCGGGATTAGAACCGGCGCCCATATGGGATCCCGGGCGTGCAAGGCGAGGACTTAACCACTTGCGCCACCGCGCCGGGCCCAATTCTTTGAACTCTTGCATGAGCTTCTCATTTTTGACCACAATCTTCAAAATGAGTCTTATGGATTCTGTGTCCCCCATTTTCTCGACGTCTTCCTCAGTTAACTGTGAGGTTGGCATAGGGTTTTGCTCCTTTACAGGGGAGTGCTCAGTAATATTCATTGTGCCTCTGTCTCTTCTTTTGCTCCTGGTCATTGCACTTCTGGTTAGCAGAGTCTTCTTCTTGGGGCAGGTTTCTAAGCTGTGTCACCCATAGGTCTACAATGCGATTTTACTTATTGCAGTTGATACACAACTTTTTGCTTGCAGCCACTTGTGCCACAACCTCCAGCGAGTTCCAGGTCTGGGTTCTTATGTCAGATATCCACCGTGGTCTCCGCAGCCCCAGCTCTTGGCTCACCATTCTCCACCTCCTGTGATACCGTGCTGAAGCTGCACTGTTGTCCCTGCAACCTTTCTCCCTCTTCTGGTTGGAGTGGGTTCCAGGATTAGAGAGACACCAGGTGTCCTATCTAGTTAGGTTGTTGGTGGCGCTGCTCTTGTCGGAACCTGTTGGATGTTAGGTCTGGGTGCCACACGGGCCTATTTTGACCGGTACAATGTCGCAGTCAGTATTATTTTCGTATGGGACCTCAGCAAGCTCTCGTGAGCTCAGCACATGTGCAGTTCTCTGTTGTCCCCTGCAGTCCCAAAGCTATTGCCACAATGCACAAAATGGCACCCGACGTGCTACCACAAGAGCTCTTGATCCGCTGGCCGTCAGATCTGAGCGCTACCCAGACATGCCGCGGATGGAACCCATAGAATGCCATGTCGTTGCAGATCACCAGTCAGAAATGAGCTCACTCCCTGCTCAGAGCATGCTCAGTCCTTTCCCTTGCCCTTTTCTCCTTACGCAAAATGGCACCCAATTCAGCTCTAGGGGGCTGACTGGGCTATGAAATTCACTCTGTTCTCGCACTGCCTGAGATTTGCTGTTTTGTCTCTGCTCCTGGTCAAATCAAAGGGACCAGCAGGATGGACAGTACTTTGTCTGGGTTCACCTCCCAAACTCCCAGTGAAAGTCCCTTCCCACCTGGTTGCTGGTGGAGTTCAGGCTGCTGGTGGAGTTCAGATCGCCGTGCTGGAGTATCAGTCACTGCAACACCACACTGCTGTGCCTGCTGCTTTCCTGTGTCTGTCAGTCTCCAGGTACCCCTCTGCTGTTGTTCTGTCCTTTCCTATTTCCTGAAATATGTCCTCTCTGCTTCATCCTCATTAAATGTTTCTCCGTCTGATTAAACGTGTCCTTACCCTATTCCGCCATCTTGATTCCCCGAGGCTTTTCTTAATGCCCTGTTTGTCACCGTAGTGACAAGAATGGGGAGATTGAACGTCAGCGGGAACACTATGAACATCTCAAGTGGAAACTGGAGCAAAAGCTGGAGGAACTCGATGGGGAGCTGGCCCTGCAGAGGCAGGTACGGTGCCTGGGGCCCGGGCCAGGCTGCCCGCATACATAGGGAGCTGCTTGCTGTCCCTTGCCACTTGGGCCTCGGGGCAGACCACAGCAGTTCCCAGGCTGACATCTCAGAGCCTGCCCAGCCATGCTGCCTCCATTGGCCTGTGTTGGAAGGTACCCGAGACCTGCATTGTGATTCGGTCCCGAGAGGTGCAGGAAGCGGGACTCCCATGGTTGTCCTGCAGTTGCTCCTGTGATGCAGTGTCCCTGGCATTGCCCTGCAGATGCACAGCCCAGGACCAGGGGCATGGTCCTTCTCAGGCTGGGGTGGCTAGCAAAGGCCCTAGCCAAGACCACCTGGGTCACAAAGCTTCCTCTGTGTCCTGCAGGGACTCCACAAGGGTCCCGGGCTTTGAGGGCCTAGGCACTTGCCCACCAGCTGCCTGCCAGACTGTGGGTCTCCATGGAGGCATGGGTGTCTTGTCTGGGGCACAAGACACTCAATGCTTAAGGTTGCTGTGTGGCCAGAAGCCAGGGTGGCGTTTACCCCACATGGGGCTCGGGGAGGCTGGGTGCTGGGGTGTACGCTGTGAGGAGTGGGCAGCAGGTGGGTGCTGGAGTGTACACTGTGCTGACCGGGCAGCAGGTGGGTGCTAGGGTGTCACTGCAAGGACCAGGCAGCAGGTCTCAGGGATGACAATGTGGCAGACAGGTTTAGCTGGAATGGAGGCAGTACAGGACGAGATGGGCAAAGCAGATACAGGGTGGCTATAGCAGCGTCCCAGTAGGTGTGCAGTGGGATAGCAGGCCTGGCCTGAGGGCTGAGCCAGGAGCCTGGCCGAGGGTGCAGACCCCAGGGAGGGTGCGGGTCCACCTGGGAGGCCCAGTGAGGTAGGCCCTGAGCAGGCAGCTGGCGGAGTCGTGGCCTGGTCCGTTCCTGGGCTGGGAATGTCCTGGCGTGAGCCTCCCGCCCCCAACAGCCACCTGCAGAAGCACGCTCACGGCAGGTCCACGCAGCATGGCGTGTGTGAGGCACTGGGACTGGCTCAGTGTTCAATCCTGAGTCCATCGGGGTGCTTGTGGGACCTCCAGCTTTGCATTTTCTGCTCAACATACTCAACAAGTGAAGGGTGATAATGTACTGTACTTCTACAGTTTCCCTGGGGCTGTGGACCAGGGGCGCCAGGCCTGGGGTGGGGGGCTTCCCTGAGGCGTGAGATCAGCTCCTCACAGAGCCCTCAGAGTGCAAGGAGATTGTGCAGGGACAGGCCGGGGCTGAGGTGGTGACAGGACAGGCCGGGGTCTGAGGCGGTGACAGGACAGGCCGGGGCTGAGGCGGTGACAGGACAGGCCGGGGTCTGAGGCGGTGACAGGACAGGCCACGGGCTGAGGCCGTGACAGGACAGGCCAGGGTCTGAGGCGGTGACAGGGACAGGCCGGGGTCTGAGGCGGTGACAGGGACAGGCCGGGGCTGAGGCGGCACAGGGACAGGCCAGGGCTGAGGCAGCACAGGGACAGGCCAGGGCTGAGGTGGGCGGTGACAGGACAGGCCGGGGCTGAGGTGGTGACAGGGACAGGCCGGGGCTGAGGCGGCACAGGGACAGGCCGGGGCTGAGGCGGCACAGGGACAGGCCAGGGCTGAGGTAGGCGGTGACAGTCCGAGGCCTGCTGCCCTCTGTGCTGTGCCGGGACTGGAGTGCACCCTTGCTTCGCACCCATGGGTGCAGCTTCACAGCAAAATGGTAGTCTTGGCTGAGTGTGTCAGAAGGCCTGAAGGCCGTTCCTGCTGTGGCACAGGGAGGGACAGTCATCATGGAGCTGGCAGAGCCTGGGGTCCACGTTGCACCGCATTGCACAGCCCGCCTTCTCACCCTGCGTGTGGCTGAAGCTGGGTTCAGCATGCCCTTGCCTGGCACTGCTCCCCCTGCTCACGGCCTGCAGGGCCTTTGCCCAACAGCCCTCCTCACCACCCGCCTTTCCTGCTGCAGGAACTGCTGCTGGACTTTGAATCTGAGCTGCAGAAGAGAGAGCGCGCCTTCCAGCAGCAGGCCAATGACATGAGCCATGTTCTCCTGTCCCATGAGCTCAAGGTACCCGGGGCCACCCCTGTCCTGGGGCTCAAGGTATCAAGGGCCACGTGCTCCTGTCCCATGAGCTCAAGGTACCCAGGGCCACCCCTGTCCCGGGGCTCGAGGTATCAAGGGCCACATGCTCCTGTCCCATGAGCTCAAGGTACCCAGGGCCACCCCTGTCCCGGGGCTCGAGGTATCAAGGGCCACGTGCTCCTGTCCCATGAGCTCAAGGTACCTGGGGCCACCCCTGTCCCGGGGCTCAAGGTATCAAGGGCCACGTGCTCCTGTCTCGGGCCTCGAGGTACCCGGTGGCCGTGGCTTTTCTGTCCACGGGGAAGGAGCCCCGTTTGCACAGTCATGGAGGCCATGGTCACTAAGCTCAGGCCATGCAGGCTAGGGCTAGGTGAGCCTGCAGCCTGGTACTGCCTATTGCTGGCCTCTATCCTCCCGGAGAGCCCGCCTGGGGGCTGCCGCCATCTGTCCTGCTCTGGGCACTCAGGCCGCAGCAGGTGGCTGCAGCAGAGCTGGCCCTGCAGTCTTGCCCACCATGCCAGCCTTTGGGGCCACTGAGGGAGCGCAGTGGATTCCCATGCTGGTTGGCCCTGCTGCCCATGCCCAAGCCCTCCCCAGGTCCTCCTGACCTGCAGTGGGAGGCTTCAGAATGCCAGCGGGCAGTGGTGCCTGGTCTGAGTGGCTAGGATCCTGGCCAGAGAACCCCCCAGTCTCTCTTTTTTTGAAGTTTTTATTTTGTTTCGGTAATTTTTTACGTATTTGATTAGGGTGCAAAGGGTCAAGGGCTAGAGGAAAGTAGGTGAGACCATTGATTTTACATTCTCTTCTTTCATTCCTGCATCTGGGGGAAGACAAAGGGAGGAGCCCCCACCCAGCCTCCCACCTAGCCTCCCACCCATCCCTGGGTGCCCAATGTGGGGCATGCTCTGAGGGCACTGCTTGAGTGATTTCGATGGTTCAGCAGTTCTGTGTTGCTGCCAATCTCACCATTGCTATCTCTCCAGATTCCACTAGCTGACGCAGTCCGCCAGGGTCCCATTTGCCCAGGCATTCACTGCCAGCTCTTGGCTGGGGTTGTTAATCGATGTGTTCTGTACTCCGTCCTCTGTTGTGGTACCAGGTGTTCTGCAGGCTGCAGTGGACTGCCGCATCCTCCACGTGCACCTGGATGTGCTGGCCACTGCCCCGCGTGAGCCACTGTGGAGGCGAGCTCTAACACATGCACTCCCCGTCAGACCGTGGAACCTGCACTTCTCTCCATGGTTGGGCTCCATGGTCCAGCGGTTCAGTTGCTCCCCAGTCTCTTACAAGCAACACCAGGGCTCCCAGCAGGCAGTGTGACCCCTGCCCACTAGCCCCTTCTCCCAAGTACCCCCCCTTCCCTCCAACTCTTGATGGGGCAGGCAGTGCTGTTGTAGCAAACTCAGGCTCCTGCCTTGTCCCCTCTGCTGCTGTGAGCCTGGCTCCAAGCCCACAGGCCTGGCGGGCTGGGCCTCATCCCGGCGCATGCCACCCACTCCACCCGCTGCCTAAGCCCAGCTCAGGGTAGCTCGGCAGCAAGCCCAGCCCCTGCTCTGCTCTGTGCATGGCACCTCAGACTCGGCATGTTCCCAGTGCAAGCAGGGCTGCCCTCAGGCCTTGTCCTGGTCTGGCCTCGTCCTGGTCGGGCCTCATCCTGGTTTGGCCTCATCCTGGTCTGGCCTCATCCCTGGTCAAGCCTCATCCCTGGTCGGGCCTCATCCGGGGTCGGGCCTCGTCCTGGGTTGGGCTTCATCCCGGGTTGGGCCTCATCCCGGGTCGGGCCTTGTCCCGGGTTGGGCCTTGTCCCGGGTCGGGCCTTGTCCTGGGTCGGGCCTCGTGCCGGACTGCATGGTGCTGCGCTCCGGCTGCTGCCAGCTGTTTCCTTCACTTGCTCAGGAGCCCCAGGTTCTTAAAGATTTATTGATTTTTAAAAGTCAGAGAAGAAAGAAGAGAGGAGTAGAGATCTTTCTCCCTCTGGCTTGCTGCCCGACAGCCAACCCTGGCCAGGGCTGAAGCCAGGGCCTGTCATGGAGCAGCCAGGACTTGAACCAGAGCCCATGGGATTGCAGGCAGAGGCTTAACCTGCTGCTCATGACACCACCCTTGAACCCTTATTGCATCTCATTAACCCCATTTCTACCTCTGTAACCCTGGAAGGTCAAACTGCTGAGCAGGGAGCTTGAGGCGCTGACGGAGGCGGGGGCCAAGGCCTCAGAGTGTCTGCAGAGAGCTGAGGCCGCCAGCGCCAGCCTGGAGAGCCAGCTGCAGGTCCGCACCTGGGAGCTGCAGGACCTGGAGGCCGTGAAGGACGCCCGGTGCGTGGCCCCGCGTGCTGCCGTGCCTTCCCCGCGTCGACCCAGGGCTCTCTGCCTGGGCCCTCATCTGCCTCTCCTTTAGGATAAAGGACTTAGAAGACAAACTGCACTCCATGCAGCTGAGTAGGACCAAGGAGGAGGACGTGTTCAAGAGGAAGTGCGTGTTGCTGCCATCCTCCGTGGCCCAGGGGCTGGGAGCAGAGCTGCGGGGGTGTGGGGGTCCCGGGAGCAGAGCTGCGGGGGTGTGGGGGTCCCAGGAGCCGAGCTGCGGGGGTGTGGGGGTCCCGGGAGCAGAGCTGCGGGGGTGTGGGGGTCCCGGGAGCAGAGCTGCGGGGGTGTGGGGATCCCAGGATCAGAGCTGCGGGGGTGTGGGGGTCCCAGAGTCGGGAGCAGAGCTGCGGGGGTGTGGGGATCCCGGGATCAGAGCTGCGGGGGTGTGGGGGTCCCAGAGTCGGGAGCAGAGCTGCGGGGGTGTGGGGATCCCGGGATCAGAGCTGCGGGGGTGTGGGGGTCCCAGAGTCGGGAGCAGAGCTGCGGGGGTGTGGGGATCCCGGGAGCAGAGCTGCGGGGGTGTGGGGGTCCTGGGAGCAGAGCTGCGGGGGTTTGGGGGTCCCGGGAGCAGAGCTGCGGGGGTGTGGGGATCCCGGGAGCAGAGCTGCGGGGGTGTGGGGGTCCCGGGAGCAGAGCTGCGGGGGTGTGGGGGTCCCGGGAGCAGAGCTGCGGGGGTGTGGGGATCCCGGGAGCAGAGCTGCCGGGGTGTGGGGGTCCCGGGAGCAGAGCTGCGGGGGTGTGGGGGTCCCGGGAGCAGAGCTGCCGGGGTGTGGGGGTCCCTGGGGTCGGGGGCAGAGCTGCGGGGGTGTGGGGATCCCGGGAGCAGAGCTGCCGGGGTGTGGGGGTCCCTGGGGTCGGGGGCAGAGCTGCAGGGGTGTGGGGATCCCGGGGGCAGAGCTGCCGGGGTGTGGGGGTCCCGGGGGCAGAGCTGCAGGGGTGTAGGGATCCCGGGGACAGAGCTGCGGGGGTGTGGGGTCCCCAGGGTTGGGAGCAGAGCTGTGGGGGTGTGGGGGTCCCGAGGTTGGGGGCAGAGCTGCAGGGGTGTGGGGGTCCCGGGGTCGGGGGCAGAGCTGCAGGGGTGTGGGGATCCCTGGGGTCGGGGGCAGAGCTGCGGGGGTGTGGGGGTCCCGGGGTCGGGAGCAGAGCTATGGAGTGTGAGGGTCCCCAGGGTTGGGAGCAGAGCTGTGGGGGTGTGGGGGTCCCGGGGTCGGGGGCAGAGCTGCAGGGGTGTGGGGCAGAGCTGTGGATGTCAGTGCTGCACCCCTGCGCCCATCCTTCCCTCCCCCAGCAGGAACTGTTTCCTCTTTATGTTTGGGGGGATGTTACCGTGGCTGGGACAGCAGCTCTGTGTGACGCTGTGAGGACATTGTGGCCGAGAGCAGAGGGACCTGGGGTTGCCCGCTGCACCTGGCCTCTGACCATGGGGCAAGACTCAAGGCTGCCTCCCACCTGCCCCCCAGTGGGGAGGGGTCTGTGTGGACCACCTCCCACTAGCTGAGATGGAGCCTGAGTGGACAGCCGCAGGGCCAGGGCTGCCGGCTTGGCGGAGCTGTGTGGCCCGGGCAGCACGCTTGAATGCCCACTGGGAGGGCTTTCTCAGACACTAAATCGAAATGGCATGACTGTCAGCACGTGCATGCTGCCATCCAATGCCAGGGTGAGGGGATCCCCACAGAGCTGCCCCTCACAGAGTGCCCGTCTCCTCTGGGTGAGGGTGGCTGGCACCCTGTCGCCCTCGTCCCATGGAGCTGCCCCTCACGGAGTGTCCATCGTTCCACAGAGCTGCCCCTTGCAGTGTGTCTCCTCTGGGTGAGGGTGGCTGGCATCCTGCAGCCCTCGTCCCATGGCGCTGCCTCTTGCAGTATGTCTCCTCTGGGTGGGGCAGCTGGCACCCCTGCAGCCCTCGTCCCATGGGGCTGCCCCTCACGGAGTGTCCGTCTCCCCTGGGTGAAGGTGGCTGGCATCCTGCAGCCCTCGTCCCATGGGGCTGCCCCTCACGGAGTGTCCGTCTCCCCTGGGTGAAGGTGGCTGGCATCCTGCAGCCCTCGTCCCATGGGGCTGCCCCTCACGGAGTGTCCGTCTCCCCTGGGTGAAGGTGGCTGGCATCCTGCAGCCCTCGTCCCATGGGGCTGCCCCTTGCAGTGTGTCTCCTCTGGGTGGGGCAGCTGGCACCCCTGCAGCCCTCGTCCCATGGGGCTGCCCCTCACGGAGTGTCCGTCTCCCCTGGGTGAAGGTGGCTGGCATCCTGCAGCCCTCGTCCCATGGGGCTGCCCCTCACGGAGTGTCTGTCTCCCCTGGTGAAAGTGGCTGGCCTAGCAGTGTCACTCAGTGTCGCTGGGCAACAGTGGTCCCAGCGTGAGTGCTCTACAGGGTCTGGCTGGGGACACTGTTGGCCCAACAGTGAGCAGATGGTGTCCATCTTCTGACTTTTGTGGGCTGGTCAGGGACCTGGGAGGTTGTAGTGGATTGGACCGTGTACCCCTGCTCTGCATGCCTTGCTTGTTGGTGGCTCTGAGCATGGGCAAGGGTGCCACGTGCCAGGGACCACTCTGTGCCCCATGAGAAGCAGTGTCGGGCCTAGGCCAGGCTGCCCTGGGGAAGCTGGGGCCCCAGGCACTCAGCTCACGGTGTGCTCTGTGTCAGGCACGAGGAGCTGGACAGGCTGGCCAGGGAGAGGGACACTGTTCTGGCTGCGGTGAAGGGTGCCCATGGGGAGCAGCTGCGTGCCCTGGAGAGCAGGATCATGGAGCTGCAGGCCCACTGCGAGAGCCTGGAGGTGCAGCTGCGCAGGGCCGAGTGGACGCAGGCCGACACTGCCCGCGAGAAGGACGCTGTCATTGAGAAGTGAGTGGGCCACAGGCCGGGAGGAGGGTCTGGTCAGAGGTGGAGACCACGTCTCCAGAGACCCCCCGGGTGAGGAAGGATGCTGAGCGCAGAGAGCTGCTGCCGCCTGGTGGCTGCTGTGAGCAGTGCTGCTGTGTTCAGTCGTCCCGTGGTCACAGTACCCTGTCATGTTCACTTAGTGCTGTGTCAGTGCTCAGTACTCATGTGAGTGCTGTGTGACCATGCTCAGTACCCAGGTCAGTGCTGTGTGACTGTGCTCAGTACCCTGGTCAGTGCTGTGTGACGGTGCTCAGTACCCTGGTCAGTGCTATGTGACCATGCTCAGTACCCAGGTCAGTGCTGTGCCCCCAGCCCCCTCTCCAACGGGTGCTGCAGTCTGGCCTGGTGGGTGACCCCCAGGAATCCCCAGGCTCTGCTGTGGCCTAGCCCGGTTTGCCCCACATCCCATCTGGCTCTCAGGCACACCTGTGGGTGCTGTGGCTTAGCTCAGCCCACCCCACCCCCACAGTGTCCCTCACAGGTGCCACTACCTTGTCCAGCTTAGCCTGCACCCAACCCTGGTTCTTTTGCTCACCAGCTATAAGTATAGCCCAGCATGTTCCCAGCCCGGATCTGAGGCTTGCAGGGGGTGCTCCCTCCTGACATGACTGACAGTCCTGGTCCTTGTCAGTGGATGCCCCTGCCTGCCCTGGCTGGCCTACACCCATGCTGGCTGCTGTGCACATCAGCAGGTGTGGCAGTCTAGCCCGACCTGTGGCGTTCCAGCTCTCACACTCACCAGTGGAAGCAGGGACCTAGCAGTCCCCAGAGTCCCCTTACCAAGGTCACCCCCAAACCCTCCTCCCCTGTGAGGCACCCCAGACCTGGCTCCCCTGTGAGGCACCCCAGACCTGTCTCCCCTGTGAGGCACCCCAGACCCGGCTTCCCTGTGAGGCACCCCAGACCTGGCTCCCCTGTGAGGCACCCCAGACCTGGCTCCCTTGTGAGGCACCCCAGACCTGGCTCCCTGTGCACCCAGCCCAGACACAGCCCACGTGCACGCTACAGGTGCTGCAGCCTTGCCAGGCCTGGCCTGCCCACCGTCCCAGCTCTGCTTTCACCAGTGAACACCTTCAGAGCTCCCAGCCCCAGGTCTTGTGGAGGCAGGTGGAGGCTCTGGCCTCGCCCTCCTGCGTGCGCAGCTTTCACCGGACAGTGGTGCAGCTTGTGCTGGCGCTCGTGCGTGCCAGCGGATGTGAAGCCTGTTCCAGCCTGGCCTGGGCCCAGACCAAGCCAACATGAATGCTGACAAGTACCGTATCCCTGCCTGGCCTGCCTGCCCCCAGCCCTGGCCCTTGTGCTCCCCAGAGGGAACCACGGACTTGTAGGGGAGTTCCACAGTTCCCCTATGGCCCTTGGCATGATTTGCCCTCAGCCTTGGCCCTTGCATGTACTGGTGGGTGCTGCACCCTGGCCCCACCCAGCTTCTTCCCAGCCCTGGCCCCTGCAAGTGTCAGGTGGGTTCTGTGGTCCAGCCTGGCTTGGTCTGTCAGCACCCCCAGCTCTCTGCATAGACCAGTAGGTACTGTGGCCCCTCAGAGGTGAGCCCACAATTTCCCCCCAGAATCTGCCCACATATCCGATTCTGTCCCGTTTAACCTGACATCGCCCAGCCCCTGCTCCGATGCTTGTGGGCAGGCACTGCAGCCTAGCCCAGCCAGGTAGGCCTCCAGCCCCATGTTTTTGGGTGCACCCGCGGGCAGCGGGCGATGCTACTTAGCCCAGACTGGTCTCCGACACGGTGGGTACCTTGGCCTGACCAGACATGCCCTCCGTTTCCCCTCTAAACCACGTCAGCTCCTGTGCCTACCAGCAAGTGCAGCAGCCCGGTCCGTGGAATCCCCAGGAGTCATTCCTCCCCCGTCACATATACCCTCAGCCGCTCCCACTCCAGTATGTCCCCAGGCCCCCCTCCCCGGCAATCTGCAGCTCCCAGGCCGGGGCTGAGGGGTATGTCTTAGCACATGTGATGGCCCTGTGCCCAGCACCTCAAGAGGCATCAGGTGGAGGTCGTGGCGCTTTCCTGTCACAGCCCCTGGCCTTTGACAAGCTCCCTACCCATGGCCATGCCCACAGCACCTCCCTCCCTGTCAGGCTCCACGAGGACTCCGCAGCTCTCAAGAGCGCCTGGGATGCCCAGGTGGCCCAGCTGTCCCAGGAGGCGGTCTCCAAGGACCTCCAGGTCCAGGCGCTGCGGGAGGACGAGGCAAAGCTCAAGGCACAGCTGGCCCGAGCCCAGCAGGATGTTGACAGGTGACTGACCCCACGCGACCTGGGCAGAGCAGGACCCTGGCCTCGCGTTCTTTGTGGGGAAGTGGGGGGAGCAGGGGAGCGACACAAGTCTGCTCAGGGCACTGGGTCATGGGGTGAGGGTGTGGAAGTGCTGTGTCTTCATTTGAAAGTCACAGGGGTGTTGGGGGAGAGGGGTTAGGAGGAGAGAAAGAAGAGAGTGAAGGAAGAGCAAGGAGGGAGGGGAGGAGGAGAGAGAGAAAGGGAGGAGGAGGAGAGAGAGAGGAGAAAGGAGAGGAGGGAAGAAAGAAAAGGGGAAGAAGGAAGGGAGCGATTGGTTCTGTCTGATTGTTCTTTACGCCCCAGATGCCCTCAGCGGCCAGGGCTGGGCCAGGCCAGAGCCTCGTCGGGGTCTCCCACTGGGGCAGAGGCTCAAGCATGTGGACTGCCTCTGCTGCCTTCACAGGCACACCAGCAGGGGTGGATAGGAGGTGGAGCAGCCGGGACTGGACGGGAGTAGGTGTCCCGGGCTCCCCTGCACACGGCCAGGGCACACCCACACTCCCGGGCTCCCCTCCACACGGCCACGGCACACCCACACTCCTGGGCTCCCCTCCACGCAGTCAGGGCACACCCACACTCCCGGGCTCCCCTCCACATGGCCAGGGCACACTCATACTCCCGGGCTCCCCTGCACACGGCCAGGGCACACCCACACTCCCAGGCTCCCCTTCACACGGCCAGGGCACACCCACACTCCCGGGCTCCCCTCCACACGGTCAGGGCACACCCACACTCCCGGGCTCCCCTGCATGCGGCCAGTACTTTCTGCTGGCCGTGGTGCATGTGAGGCTGTGGTCACTCCGTGTCCTGTCACCCCGAACTTCCAGATGCCAGCTGATGACAGGTTTCTGGTTGAATCTGTTGCAGACGGCTCGTGTTTCTGTGTGATCTCAGTGCCTCTTTCCCTGCTGTTATGAGCTTTGGCCCTGTTCTGTCTCCATGCTGGCTACATGCCATGAGGGCCTGCTGGCCCTGACCCCGCTGACCCTGGGCCCCCTGCACTCCCACGTTTGCTGAGAGGCATCCAGGCTGAGCGACCTGATCGTGTCCCAGGTACAAGCAGCAGCTGTCCCTGGCTGTGGAGAGGGAACAGAGCCTGGCGCGCGAGCAGGTGCAGCTGGGCCTGGACTGGCAGCGCCGCTGTGAGGACACCGAGCGGGAGCAGATACGGAGGTCGGAGGCCTTGATCGAAGGTCTGACGGCGTCACGGGCCCAGGTGGGTACAGTGCAGCCAGCTGGCGAGCAGTGCCATCCTCACCTGTTGGCCACAGCAGGGGAAGCTACTGCCCACCAGCCCCATCCCCTCGCTGTGGGTCGGCTCTGCTCACAGCTGGCAGGTGCCCTGTTCCCCTGTGCAGCCTGAGGGCCATCCCTCCACACCCAGGCCCTCACAGCACAGAGGCCAGCACTGCCGTGAGACCCACACCAAACTGGGCACCGTGTTCCCCAGGTGACTGCAAAGCTGCAGGAGACGGAGCAGGTGCTGCGGGAGCAGGAGAGACTGCTGAAGGCCGTGGTCCTGGAGCGGGACCAGGCGCTGCAGGCGCTGCGGGTGCACGGGCTCCTCCCGCCCGAGGGGGCCCAGGTGAGCTTGCTGCTCCCCACTCCTGCAGCCCCCAGCTCTGCCGAGCCTCCGCCTGAGGGGCCCAGGTGAGCTTGCTGCTCCCCGCCCCTCCAGCCCCGCCTCTCCACAGTGCTCACCTCCCAGCTCTTTGGAACATCTGTGGCAGCAACAGTGGGAAGCAGTGCTCAGGGCAGATCCAAGCTGGGACTTGGTTGTCACTCTTTCGGTATTTTTAAGCTTATTGATTTATTTTAAAGGGAGAGTGACAGAGGTCTTCCATGTGCTGGCTCACCACATAGTCTCAATAGCCCAAGCTGGGCCAGGCTGCAGCCAGGAGCCAGAAGCTCCCTCCAGGTCTCCCACATGGGTGTGATGGGGTCGAAGGCTTAGGGCTGCAAGCAGGAGCTGGGTGGGAAGTGATGCAGCTGGGACTCGAGCTGGTGCAGAGACGGGATGCTGGCGCTGTAGGTGGCAGCATAACCTGTACCACTGCAGTGTAAGTTCAGCAGCAGGAGTGGGCTGGCCTTGAGCCGTGGACATGTCCGCGTGCTGGCTGTCCTTGTGCTGTGAGCACTGCCAGTGTCCAGGTCAGAGTCTGTCTTGCTTGACGCCGGTGTGAGTTCCGCTATTGCTGCCGCACTGGTCCCAGAGCCATGCTGGCTGTCATCCTGACACGTGCTGGTTCTGGGGGCCATGTCACACGTGAGAGACACAGGGCTAGCGTGTAGCTGTACAGGCGCAGGTGGCCACACCCACCTCTGCCCATTTCACATCAGCCCTCCTGTTGCCCCCTTCTGCTTGCTTTTCTCGTTGGAGCCATTTCTCTGCCTGCGGGGGACCTGATCGACAGGCTCCCTCGGCTGCTGTGGGGGCCTGCAGCCGCCCCCAGCTGACACCGCAGGTAGCCAAGGCTTGTCACTCACTGACTGAATTAGGACTGACCGTGGCAGCAGCCGGCTGCACGACAGCACGTGCTGGGACCCATCCCCTCTCATGGCCGCTGCTGGCGGGCCCCTGAGCCGCTGACACAGCAGGCTGGTCTTGGAGGCAGCCGAAGCGAGCCCCTTGCTCACAACCTCTTTGAGCAGGACTGTGAGGTGACAGCCAGGTCCAGGGAGTGCCTGGGCAGTGTCCCCCATGAGGTGAGCAGCCTGAAGGAGGGGTTCTGGCTGGGCCGCCCTCAGTGGCTGTTTCCCTTCGCTTCATAATGCTGTTTACATGCGACAGTCCCCAGAGGCAGGATTAGGTTGACTGGGTGTGGCATGAGTCGTCCAGTGGCTCCTGCCAGCAGCGCATGCTGCCCCTGGGTACTGTCACACGGAGAGCCCCTGCCTCCTTCACCAGGAAGCGCCCGGCTGACCCTGGCCTTGCTGGCCCTGCAGGCAGGAGGCATGCTCCACGAGCCCAGGCGGCTGGCCCCCCACAGGTGTCCCACTTCTGGCATCAGCGCCCACTAGTTCCTAGTGTTTTCAGCCAGAGGAAATAATCCCACGGAAGGGGACATCCCTCCTGGCCTGAGACGGGATGGTGGTGGACGCTGCGCCGTCACTGTCACTGTAGGCACTAGGCCATCAGGGCCCTCCCTGTGGCCGTGGGTCTGTGTGTGACACTAGGGCCCTCCCCGTGGCCGTGGGTCCGTGTGTGACACTAGGGCCCTCCCCGTGGCCGTGGGTCTGTGTGTGACACTAGGCCTCCCCGTGGCCGTGGGTCTGTGTGTGACATTAGGGCCCTCCCCGTGGCCATGGGTCTGTGTGTGACACTAGGGCCCTCCCCGTGGCCGTGGGTCTGACACTAGGCCCTCAGGGCCCTCCCCGTGGCCGTGGGTCTATGACACTAGGGTCCTCCCCATGGCCGTGGGTCTGTGTGTGACACTAGGGCCCTCCCCATGGCCGTGGGTCTGTGTGTGACACTAGGCCGTCAGGGCCCTCCCCGTGGCCGTGGGTCTGACACTAGGCCGTCAGGGCCCTCCCCGTGGCCGTGGGTCTGACACTAGGCCCTCAGGGCCCTCCCCGTGGCCGTGGGTCTGTGACACTAGGGTCCTCCCCGTGGCCGTGGGTCTGTGTGTGACACTAGGCCGTCAGGGCCCTCCCCGTGGCCGTGGGTCTGACACTAGGCCCTCAGGGCCCTCCCCGTGGCCGTGGGTCTGACACTAGGCCCTCAGGGCCCTCCCCGTGGCCGTGGGTCTGACACTAGGCCGTCAGGGCCCTCCCCGTGGCCGTGGGTCTGTGTGTGACACTAGGCCTCCCCGTGGCCGTGGGTCTGTGTGTGACACTAGGCCCTCCCCGTGGCCGTGGGTCTGTGTGTGACACTAGGGCCCTCCCCGTGGCCGTGGGTCTGACACTAGGCCCTCAGGGCCCTCCCCGTGGCCGTGGGTCTGTGTGTGACACTAGGCCGTCAGGGCCCTCCCCGTGGCCGTGGGTCTGTGTGTGACACTAGGGCCCTCCCCGTGGCCGTGGGTCTGTGTGTGACACTAGGGCCCTCCCCGTGGCCGTGGGTCTGTGTGTGACACTAGGGCCCTCCCCGTGGCCGTGGGTCTGTGCACAGCAGGGAGCCCTCTTTCTACTCTTTTTTTTTTAAGACATTTATTTTCATTTTTGAGGTTGTTTACATGGTTGAGAAGGACAGCAGAAGGACACCATGGGCCACCAGTCAGGACTAGGAAGGGTTGAGAAATGTGGGAAAATGGATGAGACAGTTGCTTTCAAGCTTTTCCCTTCGTGTGTCTAGGGGGGAGGGAGAAAAGGGGAGGAGCTGCACCCCATGTCCCCACCGTATCAGTCCCCGGGCTGGGGGAAGGCCACTTGATATCATCCCAGGGTCCCCGACGTGGAAGATGCTCTGAGGACGCTGCTCAAATGGTTTTCATAGTTCTGAGGTGGTGTTGATTTCGTTGTCTGAGGTTGAGGAAATCCTTCCAAGGTCACTGGCGGACATAGTCCACCTTAGAATTTCCCCCGGCCCAGATACTCGCTGTCAAAGCTCGGCCTAGAGTTGGCCAATGTGTTCTGCCCTCTGCCCTCTGCCCTCTGCCATGGTACTAGACATCGCCTGCAGGCCCCAGTGAGCTGTCATGTCCCCCATGTGCACCTGCAGATGCTGTCCACTGCACAGGCTTCAACTGAAGAGGCCAGCTCTGATACATGCACTCCCTGGTCAGACCCCAGATCCTGCAAGCCCCCGTGGTTGGAGGTCTGAGTCCAGGGCTTCAGTTGGGGGGATCCCAAAAGAATCCTCGCCAGAGATGACCCCCGCCTGACTCCTGTGTGTGCAAGCCTTGCCAGAGATGACCCCCGCCTGACTCCTGCGTGTGCCAGCCAGTGATGGGTCTGGCTTGGTCGTCACCCACATCAGTCCACACACACACACACTGGTGGTGGCAGTTGCCTGGTCTGTTCTGTCCCCAGCCCCATCTCATACACAAACCAATGGATGCTGTGGCCTGGCCCAACCCTGCCCTCTACTCCCTCTGCCCTCACGCACACCAGCAGGAACTGCAGCCTCGTCAGAGCAACCCCCGGCCCTGGTTCCTGTGCTTGCCTGTATGTGCAGCAGACTGGTGCAGTCCATCCCACCTACATCCCACTCGGCTTTGGTACACACCCATGGCTGCTGCAGCCTAGCTCAGCCCAACCGACCCCACTGTCCAGCCCACACTTTCTACTGTCCAGCCAGGCCCGCCCGCAGCCCTGGTTCTTATGCTCACCAGTGGGAGCTGCAGCTCATCAGAGAGGTGCCCGCCATTTCCTTACTCTCCAGGAGGTTGTGCAGACCAGCTTGACAGGACTTGCCCCAGTCCCAGCACTTGCCAGCTGATGCTGTGGCAAAGCCCGACCAGCCTGTACTTACTCTGGCTCACGTGTGCCCCCGCAGATACGGTCACTTAGCTCACCTGGCTCTCTCCCTAACCCAGCTCACATGCAGACCAATGGGTGTTGTAGCGCTGCCCAGCCTGGTCTGCCCCTGGTTCCAGTTCTCATGGTTACCAGTGGGAGCAGTGGCCCAGCAGAGGAGCCCCTGCTGTCCCTTACTGCATTGGGCTTACCTTCCACCCCCTGAGTGTCGCGTGTGCTGGTGGGAGCTGCAGCTCAGTCTAGCATGGTCTGCCTCACCTCGGCACTTGCTGGTGGCTGATGTAGGCTGGTCTGGCCCAGTCTGCCCCCAGTTCCAGCTCATGCTAGCAGTGCTATGGCCTAGCCCAGCCTGGACGGCCCCAGTCCTGGCCCTAATGTGAACTGGCTGGTGTTGTGGCCCAACCCGGCCTGTCCTGGTTCTCAGATCTGCCAGTGGGTGTTATGAACTGGGCCAGTCTGGCCTGCCCCCACATGTGACTTACATGTATCCTGACGGGCACTGTAACCTGGCCTGGTCTGGGCTGTTCCGGCCTTGGTTCTTGTGCTCACCTGCAGGGACTGCATGCTGACAGACCAGTTCCCCAAGCTCCTCTGTCAGGTCACGTCCCAGTAGCAGCGCTCACGCACTGGTGAGTGCTTGGCCCACCTCTGTTTGGGCATTCACTGGCAGGCACCCACACCTATTCTGGCTCTTACCAGTGGGTGCTGCAGCCCATTCCTGCCTGGGTCTCATGTGGTTCAGCCCATGGGAGCACCAGTGGGTGCCAGAGCCTAACCCAGTCCGGTACACCCCAGATCCAGGCCACACCCATGCAGAGGGATGTTACGGCCTCCAGCCCAGTTCACCACCCCATTCACCAATGGGAATTGCAGCCCAGCAGGGGTGTCCCCTTAATTCTCCTGCCAGGTCCACTTCCAGCCACAGATCATGCATGTGCTAGTAGTTGCTCTGACCCAGCCCAGCATAGCCCACCCCCAGGTTGGCCTTTGCCATCAGATGCTACAACCTGGCCTAGCCAGCCCCCAGCCCCAGCTTTCACTAATGGGTGCTGCACCTGACCTTGCCCAGTCTGCCCCCATCCCTGGCTTTCATGCATGTTGGTAAGTGTGCTAGCATGGCCTAGCCTGGCCTGGCCCACACCTCATCCAGTGTGCTGCATTTTGGCCAGGCCCTGCCCATCTGCTGCCGACAAGTGCAGCGCCCCCGCCTGGCCTAACCAACAACCAGCAGGAGCACAGCCCACCAGAGGAGTTCCCCAGGTTCCCCCACCAGGTCTAATCCCAGACCCGGATCTCACACATGCTGGTGGGCACTGGGCTCTCACCCTGCCTAGTCTGTCCCCTGTGCCCTGGCCTTTGTGTAAGCTGGTGGCTGTCATAGCCTCGACCACCCCACACCCAATACTTGGGTGCACCTGCGGTTTAACACCTGGACCAGCCCAGCCTGTTCCCAACCCCAGTGTCCATGAGTACCAGTGAGTTCATGGTCATACCTCGCTCAGCCTGTCGCCACCCCCACACTCCTACAGATTGCAAGGTGAACCCACGTGTCCCCATAGAATCTGCCCTCAGACCCGATTCTCTCGTATGCTGGTCAGTGTCGTGGCCCCTCCCCTGTGGTCTAGCCCTGCCAGTAGGCCCCACAGCCCCAGCTTTTGTGTGCCCTGGTAGGCACAATGAACCCAGTTCAGGTCCCCTACATCTGATGCAGAAGGGTCCCCTGCTTTCCCTCGTCCACACTGCTAAGTCTCAGCAAGTGCACCAGCCTACACATTACCTGCACATCCTGAGCCATCCAGAGCCTCCTCACCCACGAGCGTGCAGACCCTGCGCCCAGTCTGGCAGGGTGGCATGCTGGCCGGTGGCTGTGTCCACCTTCCTGGATCCTGTGCGCACTTGTATGCAGGCTCCCACATCCTGTCTGCCAGTGTCTGCCCCCCAACATCTTTTTAAAAAAAATAGAGGGCCTGGCACAGTAGCCTAGTGGCTGAAGCCCTAGCCTCGCATTTGCCAGGATCCCATATAGGTGCTGGTGCTGGTTCTAATCCCAGCAGCCCCACTTCCCATCCAGCTCCCTGCCTGTGGCCTGGGAAAGCAGTGAGGACGGCCCGAGTGCTTGGGTCTTGCACCGTGTGGGAGACCCGGAAGCTCCTGGCTGTTGTGGGCGTCTGGGGAGAGAAGCAGCGAGGGAAAGCACATTTCTCTCTGATTCTGACTTTCATGTAAATGAGTAAATCTTAGAGAAAAGGAAAAGGGTTTCCGGTCCCTGGCATGCTCTGTGCTGGGTCCCGTGCCATCACTGTCCCGTGCCAGCACTGTGCTGGGCCTCCTCTGGCCCCTCCTCTCTGCCTCTCACAGCTCTGTGTGGCTCTGACCCCGCTTTTGCTCTGGCAGCCTGCTCTGAGCCCTGCCCTGGCCCCGGGGCCCAGGAGGTGCCATCTGCCTGTCCCCTGCACTCCCTCAGCCCTCAGGCACAGAGCTGCCCCCTCATGGGCTGAAGCCACGGCCCACTCCTCCACTGATGCCCAGTTCTGAATGAACCCCCTGGGAACGGGGCTTCTGTTGGGAGGGCAGAAAGGCTGCTGCTTCCGGGGGCAGATGGCATGAGGTGAGAGCTGCTCCCGCTCCTGCACTGTGCCTGCCAGCTGCACCCACATTCCCATGGCAGTGTGGAGAGGGCGCTGGCAGCAGCTTCCAGTCCAGTGAGATCCGAAGGCTGCAGGAGCAGAACGCAAGCCTACGGCACACCGTGGCGCACATGAGGCGGGAGATGGAGTCCCTGGGCCAGCAACTTCCCCCTTCCCCGGCGCCTGGAGAAGAGGCCACCAGGACCGACCAGCCCCATTCCAAGGCAGAGGAGACTGGCACTCCTGGTGAGGGAAGGAGGGAGCAGGTGGGTGGTGAGCGGCTCGGGTGCCTTGGGATGTCACTGCAACCCTCCCAAGGTGAGGGGCCTGCTGTGGGGCAGAGCGCATCCCAAGCCCTGCTCACAATGGCTGCTTTCTCGTGTGAGGGCACCTGGGCCTGGAGCTGACCCGATCACCATGTGGGCTGGCACAGGCAGTGCCCAGCAGCAGGTGCTTCTGCTTGCTCATGCAGACCACGCCCTGGCCTTGGAGGCCGAAGTGCAGCACTTGAAGCACAGGTTTGAGGCCCTGGAGGAGCAGCTGGAAGGTGTGCTGGCACCAGAGCCCCGCCCCCAGTCCCAGGCCACCGGTGAGTCCCTGTCCTGTCACTGGCCATGTGGGTGAGGGGACTACTGGGGGGCTTCCTACAGAGGTCCAGTGTGAGCACCTCACGGGGACACAGCCGGTGCGCCTCATAGCGACATGTCACCCCGTCCCTCCTGGCAGGCGACACTGTCCCCATCAGCCCGGAGTGCACTGGACTGGCCCTCAGGAAGCTCGGGGACCGTGTGCGTCTCTTGAACATGCTGGTGACGCGGCTCAGACGGAAGGTGAGCTATGCAGCCCCTGGGACCCTACTGCACTGCCCACCTGCTTCCCGCTCAGGAGGGGCTCACTCATGGCCTTGTGCGAGCCACAGCCGGGCCTTGTCCATGGCACAGCCAGGCCTCGTCCATGACTCACCCATGGCCTCGTCCATGGCACAGCCGGGCCTTGTCCATGGCACAGCCAGGCCTCGTCCATGACTCACCCGTGGCCTCGTCCATGGCACAGCCGGGCCTTGTCCATGGCACAGCCGGGCCTTGTCCATGGCACAGCCGGGCCTTGTCCATGACTCACCCGTGGCCTCGTCCATGACTCACCCGTGGCCTCATCCATGGCACAGCCAGGCCTCGTCCATGGCACAGCCGGGCCTTGTCCATGGCACAGCCGGGTCTCGTCTATGGCACAGCCGGGCCTTGTCCATGACTCACCCGTGGCCTCGTCCATGACTCACCCGTGGCCTCGTCCATGGCACAGCCAGGCCTTGTCCATGGCACAGCCGGGCCTCGTCCATGCCCCTTGCACTCTGGATGCGAGTGCTGGAGCAGGTCTGCCTTCTGTGTCTTCTCACCTTCTCTACTTCTTGGTGGTTGGCTTGGAAGCCTTTTTATTTGAAAGGCAGAAACTCAGAGAAAGGGAGGTGCTCCTTCTGGTTCACGCCCACGCGGCCAGGAGCCAGCACTCCATCCAGGGCTCCTGCAGCTGCAGGCACCGAGCTCTGGGACCCCTTCTTTCGGCTGGAGTTCCAGGCGCTTCAGCAGGGAGCTGGGTCAGACGCGGAGCGCCGCACTGGCATGGTAGGGCAGTGGGTTAGACCACTGCCCATGACGCCAGCATCCCTTGTAGGCACCAGCTCTGGTGTCAGCTGGGAAAGCAGCGAGGGTGGCACAGGTGCCTGGCCCTGTACCCACGTGGCAGGCCTGGATGCAGTTAGGCCCTGGGCTCAGCCCTGGCTTTTTAGACCGATTGGAGAGGGAGCTGAGAGGTGAAAGGTTCTCTCTCTCGTGCAACACTTCTTTTCAAATAAATAGATAAACCTTAAAATAAGATCGCTGTGTCTGGCCGCCACGACACTGGCCCCAGTGTTTGCAGTCCAGTTGGGGTCCTTATACATGAGGAAGGGGTTCCCACAGATCTTTGCACCCCTCCTCCCTGTGGAGTGGATCCTCTGTCAGGGTCAAGCTCCCTCAGGACGCTGCCTGTGCAGTGGACAGAGCTGCAGGAACTGGGCCCCCGCGTGGTGTGGTGTGTGGGTGGCTGACATCAGTGCCTCACACAGTGCCAGTTCAAGTCCCAACTGTTCTACTTCCAAATGATTGCAGTACGTGTGCCTGGGCCAAAGCCAGGAGCTAGGGGTTTCCTCCGGATCTCCCACATGGGTGCAGGTGCCCCAGTGTCTGGGCCACCGTCACTGCCACCTCCAGTACGTTAGCAGAAAGCTGGGAGGGGAACAGAGCGGCTGGTACAGGTATTGGGCAGGGCAGCTCAGCCCCTTACCAGGGGCTGGTCCTGGCCCCTTGCTCTCCCCCAGTTCTGGTCCTGGTCTCTCGCTTTCCCGGGGCTGGTCCCGGCCCCTCGTGCTCCCCCAGGGCTGATCCCAGCCCCTCACTCTCCCCTGGGGCTGGTCCTGGTCTCTCACTCTCCTGGGGCTGGTCCCAGTCCCTTGCCCACCCAGGGCTGGTCCCAGCCCCTCACTCTCCCCTGGGGCTGGTCCTGGTCTCTCACTCTCCTGGGGCTGGTCCCAGTCCCTTGCCCACCCAGGGCTGGTCCTGGCCCCACACTCTCCCCCAGGGCTGGTCCTGGTCCCTCACCTGTCCGGGGCTGGTCCCTCGCCCGCCTGTGCTGGTCTGCGGCTGGTGTTCCTTCTGGTCAGCGTTTGCTCTCTGGCCTGCTCCTTTCTTCCTGCTCTGCCTCTTGTCTGCCCTGGGACCTTCTTGCTTGCCTCCCTTTCCTTGCAAGGCCCTGGGCTCATAGGGACTGAAGGCCCCTCTGGGCCAGCCCTCGCATGTGCCTATGGCTAGTCCCAGCCCCTCGCAGGGCAGGAGCAGTGGCCATGGAGGTGACCGTGGCACTGGGGAGCAGCTTCCGCCCCTCATGCTGTGGAGCCAGCTTTCCCTGGCCCCCAGGTGCTGCCAAAATCCCTGAAGATGGATGCCATCCAGCGCGAGCTCCCCCAGGAGGTGGAGCAGGTGCACCTGGAGGTCCTGGAGCTGCGGAAGCAGGTGGCTGAGCTGGGAAAGCACCTTGGGGCAGCCCAGCAGGGAGGAGAGCAGCCTGCAGGCAGGAAGCTATACTGCCCCTGCAGCCCTGGGGCCTTCAGCAGCCAGGTGGGTGTCCCTGTGGGGTGTCCCGTGTATAGGGTATCCCGTGTGTGGGGTGTCCCTGTGTGCTGTGTGCCATGTGTGAGGTGTCCCATGTATGGGGTGTCCCGTGTGTGAGGTGTCCCATGTATGGGTGTCCTGTGTGTGAGGTGTCCCATGTATGGGTGTCCTGTGTGGGGTGTCCCTGTGTAGGGTGTCCTGTGTGGCTGTCCCATGTGTGGCTGTCCCATGTATGGGTGTCCCTATGTGGTGTGTCCCATGTGTGGGGTGTCCTGTGTGTGGGTGTCCCATGTGTGGGGTGTCCTGGGTGTGGCGTGTCCTGTGTGGGGTTGTTAGCACCTGCCACGTGGCTGTGAGTAATGCCTGCTGCACCCTGGGTGCCTGTGCTGAGCACACGGCAGTTAAGGCCCTGGCCCCTCCTACTGACCCCTCATTGGTGCAGGTGCAGCCCCGTGTCTCCCATGTCTTGCTGAGAGGGTGTCTGCCTCCAGGCTCAGCCTGCCCAGGGCCACTGCCTGTGGCATCCAGAGGTCCCACGCTGGTCCTGGGCAGCACCTCCTGGAGCACTCAGTTCTGTAGGGTCAGTTCCCTGGGCTCCCTCTGTACAGCTGACCTACTGTGATCTCTGCTGACCTTCCGTCTGAGTCCGGAGAGCCCTCAGGCCCAGCAGAGCCACCAGCCCTGGCTGCCTGCCCTGGGGTGGGGGGTGTCATTGCCAAGCACAGACAGGCCAAGGCTGTTCTGGGGGGACTTGGGGAGGCATCTTAGAGTCCCAGCAGGAGAGGCATGCTGGCAGGTGCCACCCACATGATGCCGGCAGCTTGCTCTGGAAAGCAGACCACGGGGTCGGGGCCTGGCAGCCCCCAGCTCTCTCCAGCAGTTGAGGAGCTGTATGTGGAGAGGGCTGGCCCCCAGGCCGCAGCAGCCAGCTGTCCACACGCACTGCCCAGGGGAGCAGGGTGCAGACCTGCCCCCACCCCAGGGCTTCCATGGCTGGGAACAGGGCGAGTCCCTGGGCTGGCTGACTTGGTCCCCAAACCTAGAACCCTGTGCTTCCCCTCGGGGACACTGGGGGGCACTGTTGGCCACTGGGTGGCTCTGGAGCCAACCCTTCCTGGCCTGGGTGGGTTTGCTCTGCCCCGGACTGGGCTGCCTGAGTGGCCTTTCCCCACCCATAGCCTGCAGAAGTCAGGCTGTTGGCCAGTCAGGCTCTGCTGACCTCAGCTGGCCAACATCCTTGGAAACACGTCCCCAGGTGCTGACCCCCCAGGACAGGGGCAAGGAGGCAGGGCTGACCGAGCTGAGAGCACCTCAGGTCAGGGTTTCTGGCTTTGGGCAGGGCCCTTGAGCTCCACCGGAGTCGCAGGCCAACAGGGGCTTCTGGGGCCATCATCCACCGTGTCCCCAGGCACATTAGGAGAAAACTGGAGGAAGCGCAGCCGGGACTAGAACCAGTGCTCTTGTGGGCTGTGTCACATGGGGTTGTTAGCGCCTGTCGGTCCACCCTCAGATGCCCATGCCTGCTCAGTCTCAGGGACACAAGAGCACAGAGGCTGGGTGGCCTGGCAGGGCTGTGTCTGGGTGAGGGTCCGCTTCCACGAGACTCTCCCCAGCCTGGGCCAGGCCCTGGGCCAGTGCCCTGGGCCTGTCTGTCCCTCAGGACTTTATAGCAGGAGACAGAGGGCTATTTCCAGGCCATGGAAGGGAGGCAGGACTCGGGTCACCTGGGCCTGTAGCAAGGCCTCCAGGCTCACAGGCCCTTCTGGGCCCGAGAGGTCAGGGAGCTATGCTGGCGCTGGGCTGTCCTGGTCCCACGATGCCTGCGGCTCCTGCCTAGGGCACAGCTCCCAGACTGCTGGGAACAGCTCTGCCCGGAGGACACGGGTACCTGGCAGCAGGAAGGGACACCAGGAAGTTGCGGCAGGACAGGCTGTGCCAGCCTGTTCCGGGGACTTGGAGCTCGGGCTGTGGCTGCATGTGGGCGTCAGTGGGGAGTGTCTGCTCAGTGTGCCAGGGCCTGGCCTGCCCCCTCCTGGGCCCCGTTCTTCTGGCTGACCTGGGCAAGGATGGCCCAGGCCCCCCAGGGTTCTGATCCAACATTGGCCTCTACTGGGCAGTGGGGAGCACCACCAATGACAAGGTGGCTGAGGGATGTCCAGGGGCAGGTGGGGAGGGAGGACTGGGTCCCTGCACCTGCCAGCAACAAGAGAAAAGGGAAAGTGTGCCCAGGGTGGGGCAGGAAGCACAGGCCGGCAGGGCACAGATATGCTCCCAGGCTAGAGCCCCCAGGGCCACGCAGCCCTGTGGGCTCAGGGCCACGTCCACCATGCCTCTGTCTTCATAGCAGACAGCATAACATTGCCACATGGGGGAGGCTGTGGATCTGGGGCTGCAGCCATTTGCTGTCCACAATGCCCCTAGGTTCTCCCTCCCACTGTGTCCGTGGGACCCCCAAGGCCTGCACACGTCAGGGGCCAGTCTGGAGGCCTAGGTTCTCCCTCCCCACTGTGTCTGTGGGACCCCCAAGGCCTGCACACGTCAGGGGCCAGTCTGGAGGCCTAGGTTCTCCCTCCCCACTGTGTCTGTGGGACCCCCAAGGCCTGCACATGTCAGGGGCCAGTCTGGAGGCCTAGGTTCTCCCTCCCCACTGTGTCTGTGGGACCCCCAAGGCCTGCACACGTCAGGGGCCAGTCTGGAGGCCTAGGTTCTCCCTCCCCACTGTGTCTGTGGGACCCCCAAGGCCTGCACATGTCAGGGGCCAGTCTGGAGGCCTGGTGACCAGGTAATTTCCCCCAGCCATCCCCACTCACCCCGCCGCTCCCATCCTCTTCCCCCCAGGGGCTTGCGGGTGCCAGTCTCACAAGGCTGTTTGCTTACAGGGCCCCACAGCTGCAGCTGTGGGGGCTGATGCCCAAGGGCCGTTCCCGTGTGCCCAGCCAGGGCCGCAGACCCCACAGGCCTTGTCAGTGGACCGAATGCAGAAGAAGCTGAAGGAAGCAGCCCGAAAAATCCTCAGGCTCCGGCTGGAGAAGGAACAACTCCTTGAGATGGGGAACAGGCTCCGCGCTGAGCTGGGCCACCCCAAAGGTGGGTGCCACGGCTCGGCTGGGCAGGGAGCCACCACAGCCAGGCCAGAGTGCGGAGGGAGCACTGCCGGGTGGCGCTGGCTGCCCAGCACCGTGTGCCCTCTGTGCTGCCCAGCTCTGTGTGCCCTCTGCCCTCTGTGCTGCCCAGTGCTGTGTGCCCTCTGTGCTGCCCAGCTCTGTGTGCCCTCTGCCCCCTGTGCTGCCCAGTGCCGTGTGCCCTCTGTGCTGCCCAGTGCCGTGTGCCCTCTGTGCTGCCCAGTGCCGTGTGCCCTCTGCCACCTGTGCTGCCCAGTGCCGTGTGCCCTCTGTGCTGCCCAGTGCCGTGTGCCCTCTGCCCCATGCTGTCCAGTGCCGTGTGCCCTCTGCCCCCTGTGCTGCCCAGCACTGTGTGCCCTCTGTGCTGCCCAGTGCCGTGTGCCCTCTGCCCCCTGTGCTGCCCAGCACTGTGTGCCCTCTGTGCTGCCCAGCTCTGTGTGCCCTCTGCCCCCTGTGCTGCCCAGCTCTGTGTGCCCTCTGTGCTGCCCAGCACCGTGTGCCCTCTATGCTGCCCAGTGCCGTGTGCCCTCTGCCCCCTGTGCTGCCCAGCTCTGTGTGCCCTGTGTGCTGCCCAGCTCTGTGTGCCCTCTGTGCTGCCCAGTGCCGTGTGCCCTCTGCCCCATGCTGTCCAGTGCTGTGTGCCCTCTGCCCCCTGTGCTGCCCAGCTCTGTGTGCCCTGTGTGCTGCCCAGCTCTGTGTGCCCTCTGTGCTGCCCAGCTCTGTGTGCCCTCTGTGCTGCCCAGTGCCGTGTGCCCTCTGCCCCATGATGTCCAGTGCCGTGTGCCCTGTGTGCTGCCCAGTGCTGTGTGCCCTCTGTGCTACCCAGTGCTGTGTGCCCTCTGTGCTGCCCAGTGCCGTGTGCCCTCTGCCCCATGCTGTCCAGTGCCGTGTGGCCTCTGTGCTGCCCAGCTCTGTGTGCCCTGTGTGCTGCCCAGTGCTGTGTGCCCTCTGTGCTGCCCAGTGCCGTGTCCCCTCTGCCTGCTGTACTGCCCAGTGCTGTGTGCCTTCCCCTTCTGTGGCCTCTGCTGAGGTTTCTTCCCAGGGCTCACGGGGCAGACTTGTCCCCCCCGGGCTGGGTGGCCCCTCCTGCGTGTCCCCCCAACGCCCTGCGTGTCGAGGGGAGGGCCTGTCACCCTCTGAGGTCTTGTAGACCCTACACCCTGTGCTCTTCCAGCACCCTCGGCATTCTGGCAGCGGTTCTGCTGGCTCTGCCCCGGCTAGGGCAGGAAGGCCCGCCCTGCCCAGGCCTCGCTGTTCTCTGATCAGAGTGGCTGGTGCAGCCTCAGCTCCCTCGGGCTGCCTGCGCCTCAGCCCAGGGCTCCAGCGCAGGCTTCCTGCAGCCAAATGACCCAGGGATTCCATCCAGTACCCTCCTTCCGTTACCCGCCCACCCCTCCACCCGCCCCGTCCCTTGTCTTCCCATCCATAGTGCCCCCTCACCCATGCTTACGTGTGGTTGGCCATCCACACATCCCCCGTCCAGTCATCCGCTCATCATCAAACATGGACGATCCACCAGCTGTGGCCACCTGTCCATCCTTTTTACCCATCTCACGTTCATTTGCCCCGATCAGTCCCTCACACCTGAGCTTGAGGGTTGCAGAGACCCCGGCAGCACGGTTGTCCATACTGGGTGCCTTGTTAGTGGGAGAGTTTTGGTAGAAGCTGATGTGTTTACGCGGGGGTTGGTCCACTCCCCAGTTCACTGCGGCGGCTTGGGTTGGGCCGGGATGAAGCAGGACTCCCGTATGGGTGTCAGGGACCAGGCTCTTGGCCATCTTCCACTGCTTGCCCAGGATATGCTTAGAGGGAGCTGGATTGCAAGTGGAGTAGCCAGAGAGAAAAGAAAAGAAAGAAAAAGCACGCCAAAGAAACAGACAGGCAGACAGGAACTAAGGCGCCGGCCTTGTGGGAGGTGGCGTAAGCCACTGTGCCACAGCCCCGGCCCTTTTCGTAATTCCTTTTTGAATCAAAAGGCAGATTTACAGCAAGAAGGGGAGAAAGAGACAGAGAGCTTCCATCTGCTGGCTCACTCCCCAGGTGGTTGGAACTGGACCAGTCTGAAACCAGGTGCCAGAAGCTTCTTCTGGGTTTCCCACATGGGTGCAAGGACCCAAGCACTTGGGCACATTAGCCAAGAGCTGGATAGGAAGTAGAACAGCCAGGACTTGAACCAGTTCCCCTATGGGATGCCGGCACCGCAGGCAGTGGCTTCACATTCTGTGCCACAAAGCCAACATGGTGGTAGGCTTCTCATTGGCTGTTCCCATTCTTCCTCTGTGGGATCCACTGTGTTCTCCCACATGTTGCTCTGCTGTGGCTCCACTGACCCGCTCTGCGTCCGCGTGGTCATAGCCGTGCCGTGTGCTGCTCAGGACCCACTGTCCGGCACTCGGGATTGGGGTGGGCTACGGGGCTCTTTTTCCTTACATCTCTCGGGCTTTGTTGCTCTCACCACTGAACCCCCTTCCTCGTTGGAATGCAAGGTGGCACGTGGGCTTATTTTTTATGTCATTCTTCATTTGCAAGAATGCTCATTCTCTACCACCCCCAGATGCCCATGGAGCTGGGACTGGGCCAGTGCCAGGAGCTGGGGGTCCCGTGCAGGTGACCCTGCCCTGCCACTGGAGCCCTCGCCACTCTCCCTGATGCATGCTAGCTGGCCACTGGAGTGGAGCACAGCTGCGGGACTCTGACCAGGCCCTGCATGCAGCCCCCTGTGTGCAGCTCCCTGCCCCAGGCTCTGACCAGGCCCTGTGTGCAGCCCCCTGCCCCGGGCTCTGACCAGGCCCTGCGTGCAGCCCCCTGCCCCGGGCTCTGACCAGGCCCTGCGTGCAGCCCCCTGCCCTGGGCTCTACCAGGCCCTGTGTGCAGCATCCTGCGTGCAGCCCCCTGCCCCGGGCTCTGACCAGGCCCTGCGTGCAGCCCCCTGCCCTGGGCTCTGACCAGGGCCTCCTTGGACAGAACCTTAGTGCCACTGCCTTGCTGTGTCTCCTCTAGAAGGTCCTGCTTCATCTTTGCTTGCTTCTTGAATTTGTTGGTTTTTCTCATTTCTGGAATTGGATGTTTGCCATTTATTTTTTCTTTTTAAAGGTTTATTTTTAATAGAAAATCAAATATACAGAGAGGAGAGGATAAAGAGGAAGATCCTGCGTTTGCTTATTCACTCCCCAAGTGGCTACAACAGCCGGAGCTAGGCCAATCCTGAGCCTCCCCCAGATCTCCCACGCAGGTGCAGGGGCCCACGGCTTTGGGCCATCCTCGACTGCTTTCCCAGGCCACAGGCAGAGAGCTGGATGGAAACTGGGGCTGCCGGGATTAGAATCACCACCAACATGGGGTCCCGGTGTGTGCAAGGCGAAGACCCTAACCTCCAGGCTACCACACCAGGCCCTTGCCATTTATTTTTATTCCTTCCTGTTCTGTACTTTCATTTCTTTCTGATTTCTTTAAAAAAGATTTACTTATTTATTTGAAAGACAGACTGACAGGAGAGAGCATCTGTTGGTTCACTGCCAGGGCTGAGTGAAGCCAGGAGCACGACCCGGGGCTCCCACAGGAGGCAGGGCCAAGCACTTGAGACAGCTGGGAGGTGACAGAGGGAGGCAACGCTGCAGTGTAGGCGTCCCAAGCAGGGACTGAGCCCGTGGCACCACATGCCAACCCCACCACAGCGCCAACCCCATCATAGTGCCCACTGCACCACAGTGCCCACCCCACCACAGTGCCTCACCACCACAGTGCCCTACCCACTACAATGCCACCCCACCCTCTGCGGAGACAAGCCCCAAGTCAAGGCCCGTTCAACAGCATGAGTAGCACGGACTGCATGCACTGGGAGCTCCCTCGCCTCCACCTTGCCTGCGACCCTCCCCCAGTTCTGCGCCCCTGTGTAAGGACCACCATCAGTGAGGTCCGGTCACTGCACGCTGTTTGTCCTCTGGCCAGGCGGGCGCTGGTACTGGCTCGTTCCTTCCCAGCGCCGGGAAGCCAGCTGATGGGACAGGCCTGCTGCCAGCTGGGCCCCGCTCTCCCCACCCCTGCGCAGGAGGAGACCTTGGTCCTGAAGTGGGCACGCTGTTCTTTTCTGCCTGGTCACGGGAGGTCCCTGACAAACGTGTCCCCACGCCCCATCTTGTTTTCAGGGAAGCTGCCCCCTCATGCCCTCCTTCCCAGCCCAGAGACCCTGTACCCCCGAGAGGCACCCGCGCTGCCTGCAGACCGAGGCTCGCCGCTGGGACAAGTGCAGCCCCACCTCGCAACACAGGTAACCCCGCCGGCGTCTGGGCAGGTGTAGTCGGGTTGACCAGTTGCTCATATGCTGGTTGGTTTGGTTTTTTTTTTTTTTTTTTTTTCTTTACAGAAGCTGTGGGTGGGGGCCTAAAACCTCTGGTCATCACAGGTCACAGCACTTTAAGATGTCCCTGGACTGGCAGTGTTGGGCTTTCTGTACCTGTTGCCACTTCCTTCTTTTCATTTCTTATTTATTTATTTATTTTTAAGATTGATTTATTTGTATTGCAAAATCAGATATACAGAGAGGAGGCAAGACAGAGAGGAAGATCTTCCATCCATTGATTTACTCCCCAAGTGACCATAACAGCTGGAGCCAAGCCGAGCCAATCTAGAGCCAGGAGCCTCTTCTGCGTCTCCCATGTGGGTGTAGAGTTCCAAGGCTCTGGGCCGTCCTCCGCTGCTTTCCCAGGCTACACGCAGGGAGCTGGGTGGGAAGTGGAGCAGCTGGGATTAGAACCGGCGCCCATATGGGATCCCTGTGTGTGCAAAGGAAGGACTTTAGCCACTTGACTACCACACCGGACCCACTACTTTTTTTTTTTAAGATTTATTTATTTTTAGTGAAAAGACAGACTTACAGAGAAAAAGAAAGACCTTCCACGTGCTGGCTCCCACCCCAAGGAGCCGCAGTGCCCAGCTCTGCAAGGAACCAGGAGCAGCGTGGGCCTCCCCCGTGGCCATCGGCCCAGAGCCGCTGCTTCCCCAGGTGCACACTCCCTGGGGCTGGATCAGAAGTGGCATAGGCAGCATTGGGATGCAGCATTGGTGCAGGCAGCCACTTAGCCAGCTGAGCACAACTCCCTGTCCCTCTTGCTCAAATCCTTAGCAGTAACATATGTGCAAAGAAAGTTGAATCAGGCTGGCACGGTGGTATTGCAGGCTGGTCCTCTGCCTTCAGGGTCAGCGTCCCTCATGGGTATGGATTTGTGTCGCAGATGTTTTGCTTCAATCCAGCTCCCTGTTAACACCATTGGAGAACCCCAGAAGATGGCTCAGGACCTTGGGCCCCTGCACCCACACTGAGAGACCCCAGGGAGTCTCCAGGCTCCTGGCTTTGGATTGTCCTAGTTCTGGTCCTTTTGGCCATTCAACTGGACCGGCAGAAGGAAGATCTTTCTCCGTCTCTCCTTCTCTCTGCAGATTTACCTTTCCAATAAGAATATGTAAATCTTTTAAAATTGATTGATTAATTTTTTATTGCAAAGACAGATATAGAGAGGAGGAGAGACAGAGAGAAAAACCTTCTGTCCAATGACTCAGTCCCCAAGCAGCTGCAACGGCTGGAGCTGAGCCGATCTGCAGCCAGGAGCCAGGAACCCTTCTGGGCCGTCCTAAATGCTCTCCCAGGCCACAAGCAGGGAGCTGGACGGGAAACAGGGCTGCCGGGATCCCATATGGGGGCTGGTTCTAATCCCGGCGGCCCAATTTCCATCCAGCTCCCTACCAATGCCCTGGGAAAGCAGTGGGACAGCCCAAAGCCTTGGGACCCTGCACCCACATGGGAGATCTGGAGGAAGTTCCTGACTCCTGGCTTTGGATCAGTGAAGCATCAGCCATTGCAGACACTTGGGGAGTGAATCATTGGACGGAAGATCTTCCTCTCTCTCGCCTCCTCTCTGTATATCTGACTTTGCAATAAAAATAAAAAGCAAGTTGAATTGTTGTAAAGCATTCTGGTATCCTGATGAGTGACACAGAATAGTGAGGTAAGCTTGCACTCAGGGTGACCCCCAGTGCCCATCCAGATGCCAGCTGCCAGCCCAGCGCCTGCTGATAGGCCTCATGCCTGGCCCTGCGTACACGTGGGAGATGGCCGAGGCGTCTGGCTCTGGGCTGCCCCAGCTGCTGTGGCATTGGGGAGTTGCTTCATCCGCCTCTCCCCTCTCTGTCTCTGATGGTAGGCCACCGAGAGAAACCGTGGGGACGTGCTGCGGGCCAGGGCTGCCCTCGCCTCGTGGGCTGCGGGCCGGGGCTGCCCTCGCCTCGTGGGCTGCGGGCACACTCCCTGACGTATTAAGACGGTCACTCCTCTCACAGATCTTTCCCCACTTCATCACTTGCTACTTAATTCTGACTTTCTCAGTCATGTGAGCGCATCTGTCGTCACGGCTCTCCACGCTGCCAGACACCCAGGCCGCCCCCCTGCCCCTGGCTCTGTGCCCCTGCCCTTCACCCAGGGCCCCCTCGGCTGCTGAGGCTTCTGGAGAAGCCTGCCAGTACCGTGTGTGTCACCCCAGAGAGCTGCCAGTGGGGCCCCGGAACCTCCCCCGCTGTGTGTGCCGACCCGCAGCCAGCCTGTGCTCCCGGCCCTGAGCAGGGTTGCAGCTGTGCTGCCGTGTGTTTGGGCTTTCGGAGAAAGAGAGCATTGCCGTCCACTGGCCCTCCCCGCCAGCCACCAAGGCGCTGGTCCCAGCCGAGACAGGGAATCCAGGGAATCCAGGCTTGGGTGGCCCCCGGGGGGCAGAGCAGTGCCGGAAGGGGCCTGGGTGGGACTCAGCACCTGCCTGTCACTCTGACAGTTTGGGCCACAACCTGGCACCTGCCTCTACCTTGTTGCCGCGTGCTCATGGGTATCCATTCAGTCGCTCACACCACCTCTGTACTCGTCCAGTCACCAGCAGCTATCTCCAAACACCGGAGGTGCAGGGCCCTGGGGGTCTGACTTGGCCAGCAGCCCATGGGTCACTCGGCTGCAGGAAGCAGTGCCCTGTTTTTAAGGACTTGGGCATTTGACAGGCAGAGAAGCAGAAAGAGCATGAGCCAGCCACCTTCCACCCAGTGGGCACTCCCCAAAGGATATGACAGCTGGGTCAGGCCAGGAGCTCCCGACTGGGTGCAGGGACCCAGGCCCTCGGCTGTCCCACACTGCTCTCCCAGGTGCCCTGGTAGGGGGGCTGGGTGGAAGTAGAACTGCTGCCACTGCTGTCCGTGCTGTGGGAGGGATAGCTGGCACTCAGTGGCAGGGGGCTCCTCACTCTGCCCTGGAGGTGGGACCTGCTTCCCTGCACTGCAGAGACTCTGCCTGCTGCGTGGCCATGCAGAGAGGCAGGGCTGAGGTCTGGGAGCTGGCAGAGCCCCAGCCTGGGCCTGGGTCCGGGCAAGTCCCTGAGGTGGCCAGCCTCAGCATTCTGCCCCCTGGCCTTGGATGTCCCAAGTTCAGGCCTAGCAGGGCTTGGTGCTGGGGGCCAGCTGAGGGTGCTGTTATGCCGGGCACTCCAGGCAGCTCTGTTCCCCTCTTGGAGCAGCCTGCGTATGTGTCTGTGCCCAGGCTGCTGGGATGACCCTGTCTTCTCTCGTGGGCAGAGGCAGCACCTAGTCCCCACGGCGACCTGCTCAGCAGCACAGCAGAAGGAGAACAGGCTCCCACCTCCACACCTGGCCCGCCCTGAGGACAGAGGCTGCCCCGGCCAGGGCTCATCGTCACTCACCGGCAGCTCACTCCAGGACACCTGGAAATTGTTGGACCTGGGGTCCAGCCCTTCTGGTCTCACCTCCCAGGAAGACTCAGCTGCAGGTAGGTGCCTGGCAGGCTAGGGAAGCTGTCCACACGGGTTAGTGACATGGGTCACAGGGTCTCTCCCATCTTGCATCCGGGACGGGGCCTGTGCTGTGCTCAACGTGGGATCTCGAGGGACCCAGAGCAGGCGCTGTGGGGTGCCAACCCTGCTGTGTCACCCAGGTCCTGGTGTGCTGTGCTCAGCATGGGATCTCGAGGGACCCAGAGAAGACACCGTGGGGTGCCAACCCTGCAGTGTCACTTGAGTCCTGGGCTAGGTTCTTTTGGCCACAGCTGCTGGTGGATTCCAAGCAACATCAGGAGAATCTGTGGGTGGGTCCACCTCAGGGTGCCATGTGTGACAAGCACAGGCAGGAGGAGGGGAGGCAGCCATGGGCTTGGGGGAGCCGTGGACTTGGAAACCAACCCATCCTTGCCTCACCCCACAGGGGACGTGGGGTGGCGCTGGACCCTGACCCAGGCGGGCGACGATGTTGCAGTGGCCTAGTGCACACAGCTTCCGTCTGTCACTTGCTCTGACTGCACCCAGGAGCTCATTCCTTGGCATGGCTCACGGCATGCCGCCCTGTTCTGTCCCGTTTGGCTGCGTGTGTTTTGGGTGTGAGTGTCGTGTGTGTGTGTGTATTAGGTGTGCATTCCGGTGTTCTCTTTTATAAGTGTGTTTACTTGAGAGGCAGATGGACAGTGAGCCAGTGGGGCATCCTCTGCAGCTGGGCAAGGGCCAGCCTGCCAGTTCAGTCCCCAGCCCCCTCACCAGCTAGGCAGCCATGTCAAAGTCAGAAGTCAAGCTTTGCACCTGCACACTCAGCACTGCCTTCCGGCCACGCCAGCAGGGAGCAGGGCCAGAGCTGGGGTTGGCGCCTCCCCACCGTTAGGCCGGCGTGCAGCTTCCTTGTGGCCCAGGCAGGATGGCAGTGCGTCCTGTGCCCTGGGCGCTCCGGGCTCACGGTCGGTGGGTCACACAGTTTCTGTTCTTGGGGATCTTTTATTTATGAGGTCATGACAATGGAAAAGGGGGAACGGCAAGATTTCCCCCTGCTGATTCACTCCCGAAGAGACCCCAACAGCAGAGCTGAGCTGACCCAAAGCCAGAAGCCAGGTGCTTCTTCTGGGTCTCTCACGTGCATGCAAGATCTCAAGGCTTTGGTGTCTCTGCTTTCCCAGCCATACACAGAGAGCCGGATGGAAATAGGGCAGCCGGACATAATCCGGTCCTGTATAGGATGCTGGTGCTTGAAGGCAGAGGATTAACCTGTTGAGCCATAGCACTGGCCCCCCCCAAGAAAGACCAGTTTTAAGAAGGGGAGGGAGTGGGGAGGAAGGGGCCAGCCGCCATGTCTGTTGGGGGGCAGGTTCAGGAGCAGGGGGTGTGGGGCCAGGACAGCCAGAGATCTCCCACCGGAGGCACTGCTGCCCAGCTGTGTCCTGGTGAAGCTCAGGACAAGCAGAGGACAGCAGGGACGTGGACGAGGCCTGGGCACTGGGCAGGAAGAGGGTGGCCTGCCCGTTCCCCACCGAGGCACCGGTGGCAGGCAGCAGAGGGCGGCTCAGGGCCTTGGGAGGTCTGCATGGAGTGCCAGCTCCCGGCCTCAGCCCGCCCCACCCGTCTGTCACAGCGCTACGAGGGAGCGTGCAGGTGGAAGACTTCCGACTCTGGAATCAGTTTCTCTCCTTCTCTTTTTTCTGTGAACTGACTACTGTGCCACCAGCTGTCTTCCCAGCAGAACCCGTGCTGGGTGTGCCAGGCACTACATGCTGAGCCGCTGCTTGGGGCACCTACCAGCTGCCCCGCTGCCCATCCAGCACCTGGGAGGGCAGCAGAGGACACCCTGCCCCCACATGAGGCTGTGTGGCATCGAGGGGAATGAACCGGAATGGCATGTTCTCTCTCTCATCTTCCTCCCTGCCCTTCAGTGAATGAAACCTGAAACCTGTCCAAAGCAGGAGGCAGAGGTCAGCAGAGGTCACCCCACAGCTGTTCTGGCCACTGCAGCCGCCAGGCCTCTGGCGGAGAGAGAGAGCGAGAGGGGAGAGAGAGAGAGAGGTCTTCCATCTGCAGGCTCACTCCCAGAGGAGCCAGGACTGGGGCCAGGAGCCAGGCGTGTAGACAGCATGCCCACACGGGCTGTATCCTGTCCCCCACTGCTTCCCCAGGCACAGGAGCACAGATGGAAGGCCCAAGGGGAGCAGCACCCGCGTGGGTGCCGACACCGCAGGAAGCCGACTTCAGCCGCTGCGCCACACTGCTGGCCCCGTGCTTTGCTCAAACCATGCCACTTCTGTCAAAGAAAATTTTTGAGAGGGCAGGAGTGGCTTCCTGTGTGGAAATCGCAGAGGCCAGGTGGGGTCAGGCACGGAGAAAGAGCCCTTGTGTTGTAAGAGGCAGATCGCTGGTGGTCCCTGGTGGGAAAGGGAGGGGACAGAGGCTGTGTCAGCGGGGGAGGCCAGGACCACAGGCCTGCGTGCCCACACAGAGGGCAGTGGGTGGGGGCAGGCTAACCCAGGCGTGTGGAGTCTTCTGGGAGCAGGCAGGCTCAGGGTCACTACGTATGGGGAGGAGTGTGGTGACCAAACTGTGACCTGGCTGACCTGCACCTGCTGGGAAGCCACCCACATGGGTGCTGGGGGGTCCTAGTCACGGGGCAAGGCAGGCAGCCTGTGGTGGCCATGTGTCCTCACTGTGGCTCCAGCGTGGGGGACTGGGACTGGATCCTGTGGGCCCCAAGAGAGACGTACACCATTTCTGGAGGCTGTCCATTTTAAAGGCCCTGGAAAGTCCAGAATGACAGCCCCTGACGCCTGTGCAGAAGGGCCCAACCCCTCCCCTAGGCCATGCAGGAGGGCCCGGCCGTGCCGGGGTACAGGCTCCTCATTGGCACACAGAGGGAGGGGGCTCCAAGAGTATGGCCCCAGGAAGGAGAGCAGACTTGCCAGGAAGAGGGTGCCTTGGGTGAAGGGAGACTGGCCAGTGAGTGAGTGGCCTCCTCGGCCGTGGATGCCCTGGTGGATGGCTAGGGGCCACCCAGGGCCAGAGCCCACCAACTTGTGGCTGGGACAAAGGACGAGACTCATGTGGGCCCCAGAGGGGCTAGGGAGCTGACCTGGGGGACATGTGCAACTCACAGGCCCAAAGCAGACCTCAGCTGGTGGCTGCGCTTACTGTCCCAGCAAAGAAGGGTCCAGTGTGTGGGCCCAGGCCCCAGAGGAGCCCATGCAGGGCATGCCGAGGCTGCTCGCAGGAGTAGGGCCCGTGTGTCTGGCCTTGTGCATGGCGGCAGCTTCCTGCCTTGCGCACTGTGCCCCCTGCATCATCAGAACTCTTAGTCCTGCTTGTGTTTGTACTTTTTTATATATAAGATTTATTTATTTTAATTGGAAAGTCAGATACACAGAGAGGAAGATCTTCCATCCGATGACGCACTCCCCAAGCAGCTGCAACAGCCAGTGCTGAGCCAATCCAAAGCCAGGTGTCAGGAGCTCTTCTGGGTCTCCTACATGGGTGCAGGGTCCCAAGGCCTTGGGCCGTCCTCCACTGCTTTCCCAGGCCACAGGCAGGGAGCTGGATGGGAAGTGGGGCCCCAGGATTAGAACTGATGCCCATTTGGGATCCTGGTGCATGCAAGACAGGGGACTTTAACCCACTAGGTTACCACACTGGGCCCTTGTTGCAAGTCTTACAGAGGGGTGCCTCGGAGTCGGGGTCCATGTTCTGTTTTCGGAGTATCTAAGTCCACAGGGGCTGTCCCCAGTGCCTGTGGGCACTGCCCTGCCCTACCCTGTTCCACCCTCAAGGCGTGCACAGCTATCAAGAGGCAGTGTGTCTCCCCATGTGCCCCACAGCGTCCCTTTGGGCCGCCTCTGGAGCTGTGCTCCCACTGTGGCCTCTGTCCAGCAGGGCTCCCGAGCCCACCGGGCCGGCACGCCCTCCCCCCTTCCCCAGCGAGGCCCTGGTGCTCTCAGGGTACCCCCACTCCATCTGTCCCACTGGCACAGCACCCCACACTGGCCCGGGTTGGGCAGTACTGTTCTCTCACTTATGTCAATTCTGCCCCAGGAATGCCCCTGGTTCTGGTCCCTGTGGCCTTGCGAGCCCAGCTGCAGCAGGGAAGTGGGGCTGCCGTGTGTGAGTGTGTGTGTGTGTGTGTGTGTGTGTGTGTGTGTGTGTGTGTGCGCTTCCCACAGCACAGGCGTGGGAAGAGAACCATGACACACTGTGACACACGCAGTGGGTTCTGAGTGGTACAGCAGCAGCCAGGCTGGGCCAGGCCTCCCAGGAGAGGGACTGCAGGGACACAGCGGCCCCAAGGACAGGATGACAGCCACACTAAAGCCACCTGGCCAGGGTTGAACACAGGAGCCCAGGAAGCAGGGTGCAGGCACGCAGCAGGGGCGAGGGACCTGCAGGTGGTCTCGGCGGATGTGGAGGCAGCCCGGCCCGCCTGCCTGGTGCGTGTGTGGCCAGCTGTGGGCGTCAGCTGGGTCAGAGGCCGCAGTTGCCCAACAGCCGGGGACAGGAGCCTCCCTCCGGGGCCTGCACCCGTAACCAGCATCTCCACTCTTTGCCCATCTGATAAAAGAACTGACGCATCATTCTGGCTTGACCATGGGGCAGGGCTGCCAGGTGTCCTTGCTGCTCGGCCAGATGTGTGTGTGTGTGTGTGTGTGTGTGTGTTTAAAAAATTATTTTATGTTTATTGTAAATGCAGATTCACAGAGAAGGAGAGACAAAGATCTTCTGTCTGCTGGCTCACTCCCCAAGTAGCTGCTCTAGCTAGAGCCAGGCTGCTCGGAAGCCAGGAGCCAGTAGCTTCCTCAGGGTCTCCCACGCGGGTACAGGGTCTCAGGGCTGTGGGTCGTCTGCCGCTGCTTTCCCAGGCCACAGGCAGGAACTGGACGGGATGCTGTTTCTGCAGGCAGAGGATTAACTTGCTATGCCACGTTCCTCCCGACCCACTGCCCACCATCAGCTCTGTGTACTTTCGAGTGGGCATAGCCTGTAAA